ACAAAATATGATTCCTTTGTTCTCGGACATTGGACAGCAGACTGTGCACGACAGGATTCCCTGAGACAGAAAAATAAGTGCAGTGAATACCACAATTTCCCCAACTTTCTGCCTGGAGATGCATTCCAGATCACACTGCACAAGGGCAGTCACAGGGAGAGCAAGGGGAAACTGCAGAACGGAGTTGCAGAAAGGAGACTGCTGCACAGAAAATGAGAGTAACTTTGGGTCCTTGTTATATTGGGGCACGTGTGCACAGGGTACACTACACAAGTCTGGGGAGAAAAATGATCAGGGGTCTGCAACCTGAACATTGCCATTGCTCATGCACTTTGAGTTCTGATGGGCCTGAATGGCAAGTCCTTGGTAGTCACCCAGGACATTTACTGGAGAATCCAGAGGAGTCAAACTGTCTTTGAAGTGGTCATTCGAGGCCCACCCACCCCAGCAAAGCTAAAAAGAGGCCTGTGGGGGTCAACTGATCCACAGATAACTGCCTGCTTAAATAAAGCCCAGTGCTTTAAAAAAAAAAAAATTAAGACACTCAAAAATGCAGGATTTATGATGTCTGTCGTCAAATAAGAAAGGGCTATCATGCCAAGAAGAAAAAAGTGAACCATAACTAAGAGAAAATTTAGCTGATAAAAACAAATCTAGAAGAGATAGAGGTGATAGAATTGGAAGGAAAGGACAACAAAACTATTACAGATGTTTTCAAGTACTTAACACACTGAGGAATGGAATGGAAGATGTATAAAGAATCAAATGGTAGAACATATAGCAATGGAAAGTACATCTCTGAAACTTAAAATTTACTATATAATCTTAACAGATTAGATACCAAAGGAAAGGTCATTGAATTTAAGAATGACAGTAGAATTTACCCAAAATTAAGAATATAGAGAAAAAGACTGAAAAAGTACAGTGTTATTCACCGCATTTATCTATGAGATAATAGTAACTGCTCTACCATATGAGAGTCCAGATTGGAGAGGAGAAAGAAGGAATAATCACTGAAATTTTTCCACTTTTTGAAGAAAAGTGTAAATCCTTAGATTTAGGAAGTAAAAAAAAATCCAAGCAGAATAAACACAAAACCACTGTCAGGTATGTCATAATCAAATTGCTATAAACAGATAAAGGGCAGGTCTAGAAAGAAGCCTAAGCAAAGATACACTATACACAGAAAAAGAAGAGTAAGACTACTGTAGATTCTTGTTAGAAACTATGTAAGTCCAAGACAATGGAACAATGTCTTTAAAGTGCTAGAGGAAGAGCCTGCTTTTTTTTTTTTTTAATTTCTAAATTTTTAGATGAATTGTCTTAAATCTCATCAGTCAACATTACAAAGTATTCATGCTACATACACCCTCATGACACCCAGGTATGTGCGTGTCTGTTAGAGCAGTATACAGATACAGTGTAACCTCTGTCCAGATAACAATGGTGTTTTTCTCAGAATTAGCACAAAGAATCAAAGGGTACCTTGATCCCTTCTACTAGTTGGCAGCCTAAAGGCTGGTCCACACTGAATGTGTGCTTGGCCTTCTGCTATGTCATGGGCTGTAGACCATTGATTAGTGAGCTTCTGAGTTGTTAGCAAATTCTTCCACAATCTTTGTTTGAGATTTTAAGTGTAATTTCTTTCATTACTCGATAGAGTGAATAAAGAAAAATGAGTAAGGATATAGAAGACTAGTACAATGCTATCAACCTAATGATACAAAATCTTAAGAGGTTATTTAGGAGGTAAATATCTAAGGTGGTGGATATTGTTGTTATTTTTATGACCTCTTTTCCGAAGACTATCTTATGGCCTATTGACTAATTCAGACTTTTAAAAAAATTGGATTATAGCTGACATACAATATTATGCTAGTTTCAGATGTACAAGATAGCGATTCAGTATGTTTATATATTTTAAAATGATTACCATTATAGGTCTAGTTACCATCTGTCACCATACAAAGTTGTTACAATATTATGGGTTCTATCCCTATGCTATACATTACATCTTCATAACTTACTTACTTTATAACTGGGAGTTGGTACCTCTTAATCTCCTTCACCTCTTTCACCACCTCCCATCCCTACAATCACTAGCTCTCCCTATCTAGGAGTCTCTTTTCATTCTGTTTGTAAATTTGTTGTGTCTTTTAGATTCCACATATAAGTGAAATTATATTGTATTTGTCTTTGTCTGGCTTATTGACTATAGGTCCACCTGTGTTATCACCAATGGCAAGATTGCATTCTTAGCTATCGCTGAACAGTAGTCCACTTTGTAGATCACATTTTCTTTGTCCATTTATCCATCAGTGGGCACTTGAGTTGCTTCTGTATCTTGCCTATTGTAAATAATGCTGCAGTGAACATCAGGATACATAGTATCTTTTCAAATTAGTGCTTTTGTGGGTTTTTTGGTTTTTTTTTTTTTTGGTTGGTTTTTTTTTTGGATAAATACCCAGAAGTGGCATTCCTAGACCATATGGTAGCTGTATTTTATTTTATTTTTATTTTATTTTATTTTATTTTATTTTATTTTATTTTTAAAGGTCTTATTTATTTATTTGACAGAGGGAGAGAGAGATCACAAGTAGACAGAAAGGCAGGCAGAGAGAGAGGGGGAAGCAGGCTCCCTGGTGAGCAGAGAGCCCGATGCGGGGCTCGATCCCAGGACCCTGAGATCATGACCTGAGCCAAAGGCAGAGGCTTAACCCACTGAGCCACCCAGGCGCCCCTGTTAGCTGTATTTTAATTTTTTTGTGGACCCTCTGTACTGTTTACCAGAGGAGGCTGCACTGACTTATTTGCCCACCAACAGGGTACCAGGGTTTCCTTTTCTTCTGCCAACACTTGTTGTTTCTTGTCTTTTTGATACTAGCCATTCTGACTGGTTGGAGGTGGTATTTCATTGCTGTTTTGATTTGCATTCCCCCGGTAATTGTGATAGGGAGCATCTTTTCTTGTGCCTTTGTTTGTGTCTTCTTTGGAGAAAATGTCTATTCAGATCTTCTGCCCCCATTTAAGTCAGGTTTTTGAGGGTTTTGTTAGAGTTGTATCAGTTCTCCATGTATTTTGGATAGCCACCATTACAGATATCTCCTCCCATTCCGTAGGTTGCCTTTTCATTGTGTTCCTTTTCTGTAAGTGGTTTCCTTTACTGCGCAATGTACTGTGCAATGTCGATGGTTTCCTTTACAGGAGAGAGGCAGGGAGTGGCCCTGTGGAGATAAAGCCTGGCTGGCCGGCCCTCTAGAGGTCAGGTGGGCAAGAGCTTTCTTCAGAGGCTTCCCAGCACGGTTTCCTTAGCTGGTACCAGAAAGGATGGATTCTCTTGTAGAAAAGTGACACCAGTTAACAGGCATTTAAGCAAATCTTTTGCAAGTTATGTCAGTTAGCATGCAAAATAAGGATTCCGTGTAATTAGATATTAGATATGGTTCACTTGAGTTCCATACTTTTTATTACGTATTACACAATAAATCTGCACTTGCATCCACTCATCTTAGCCCACCTCTTGAATAGCCTGTTGGGGAGAGGGAACCGGTCTTTTTCATCTCTGTATTCCTTTTCCCTTGGCTCGGCAAATCAGTGGCCCTTCATAAATGCTTGTCATATTGCATATCAGGTTGTTGCTTAAACATTAAAATTTGTATAAACCAATTCTGATCATATTCTCCAAAATTAGAGCTGATGAGTGGTAAGATACTCATTGGTTACACATGTCTGTGAATAATTTATTGAAAGAGAGATCACTGACTAATGTTTGGGTTTATGTGGGAAGAATACGGAGGGGTTTGAGTTATGTGCCCATTTTATCTCCGTAGCTGTTAAGAGTTTGAAGGATGTGGTGTTACTGCCTCACTCCTCATTCTTTAATTTTAATAATAAAAATAGAAATCACTTTCAGTTAACAGAAATTAAAGGTAAAATACTTTTCCAGAAAACCCTTTATACAACTTTTTATAGCTTAATAGTTTTGTAATTTCCAGGGTTAAGCTTAATCTTTTTTTTCCGTTTGTTTTTCTCCAGTATTAAGTGTTTGGCAGTCTCTATACCCTAGATCATATTTTATGGGTCATTGATTCTTTTGACAATTGAGCATTTTAATATAATCTGAGAATGTATTTAAAATTGGTAGGGAGTATTAGATCTCTATTTGTATATAATTTATTGATTGAGTGATTGATTGAGATAGACTGCACAAGTGGTGGGGAGGGGCGGAAGGAGAGGGAGACAGGGAATTCTAAGCAGGCTCCACACCCAGCACAGAGCCCAAAGCAGAGCTTGATTCCAGGACCCTGAAATTTTGACCTGAGCCAAAATCAAGAGGTTTAACCAGCTGAACCATCCAGGCACCCCTGTTTGTATATAATTTTAAAATACACAGGTCTGATAAGCATTTATTTCTAACTCTGGGTAAAGTGCTTTTGACTTGGGTTCTCATTATAAGCCTAATAATAATGACGATAATAAGAATACAGACAACAGCTTTTTATTAGTGGTTTTAGCATTAAGTGTCATAGTCTCTAAGGTGTTTTTTCCTCCTGCCTTTTTTTTAATAGGATAGGAAAGGAGGGCTCACGAAAGTGACTTACTTTAACTTAATACAGGCCAAGTAGCTACGGAGACAGATCTTGAACCTAGGTTTTAGGATTGTAAGTGGAGAAATCTTTCCCTATAGCGTGGTGCATCTGTGATTAACTCACTGCTTATAGTTTGGGTGTTTCAGAAGAAGCAAAAATAGTTTCTGTACCATTTTTTCTACTGAATCAGAGACCACTGAACGTAATAAAAACTGACCTCTGTTTATTGTATTAGTAAGTACTCCATGATATATTGTAGCGCAATAAAATAGAATACAGAAATGCAAATCCATGTCTCAAAATTAGATGCCATGCTTTCCTTTAATGTTGTAATTATTTATTTGAATTCAGTATTAAAAGTTAAAAATTTAAAAACAGTGATGTATGTGTATTTTTTTTTTCTTTTCCCAGACAGATAGTGATTATGTACACAGTGTTGTAACCAACTTGGAGAAAGAGTAAGTTCTTAATTATGAAAATGATAATATTTTAGTTACTTTTACTTACTGGCTTTTTGCTAAAAGAAAATGCCTCTTTTATAGTTCATTTCTCTGTGTTTAGTGTTCATTGGGTCACTATCATTGGTCTTTTACGTTGTCATAAAGTAGGTGGATATACGGTTTTCTGATCATGGACGAATTGGTGTATTTCAGTATAGAAAAGATTTGAATGCCATACATATGTAACTCTGTCAATGAATTATTGATCTTAAAGACCATAGAGAGGATCATACAAGATTACTTACGTCTTTCACCCTCAGTTGACCAAAAAACACTCTGCTATCAGGGTGGATAGTCTTGTAGTGGTTGTAGCTTGTTGTAGTTGTAGTAGTTCCAAATCTCAGTGCTAAACTATGGCTAAATCTGTTCTATTCTGCGAAGACTGAGTAACAGTTTACTGTGAGCAAGCACTTAGCAGCTAACAGGGGGAAAGCTTAGTAAGTTTCTGATATTAGTTTTTGTAACACTGCCTTCATAGTTTTAATAGTGATACCATAAAAACTTGTCATGATACGTTTCTTCATTGACTTTTACCTGTTTTTGCCCTAAAGATGTATCTTTTACTTAAAAAGCCAAAAGGAAGCAACAATTATTTGTCAACCCTAGATTTAAAATACTGCGGTTCTTACTTTGTCTATCAAGATGCTGAAACCAGAAACTTTTTAAAAACCTATGAAGAGTGCAGAACTAAATTGTGCACTTGTTGTGTTTTTCCTTCAAGTGCTCCATTTCTAGGCAGCCCTTTATATAAACAGAATTTAGTATAGATTCCTCAAATACAGGGCACTCATTAGTGGCCCCTCCTCCCCTTGGCCACATGGTCAGGTCTTTGGGGTTTATGCTGTGATTTTTGTCATTTCTCTTCTTCCTCAGTGTGTAGGAACACCAAGCCCAGAAAAAAGTATGATGAAGCATGAACCACATTTGTGTAAATGCGGGTAGTTGCACAAGGATTTTGTGGAGATTTGCAAAAACTAAATGAGGGGAATGCAAACGTGGAAGGAATACACTTGAGTTAGTCAAGCTGATCACAAAAGCTTGATCACGGGTTTTCTCAACCTTGGCATTATTGACACGGGAGGCGAGATAATTCTTTGTCGTGAGGACCCTCGTATGTGTCTAGGGTACTGAGCACCCTCCTTGATGTCTGCTGCTAAGGTCAGTAGTACAGTTAGGACACAGTAGCCCACAGTTAGGACAACCGGATTCCTCCAGACGTTGCTCCATGTATGAGACAGACACACACACATTCGTTAGTTTGTTTTTCTTCAATTCTCTATTGTCTGTGATACCTTCATTTTGATTTTTTAAAATTCTGATACTTTTTAGGAATATAATACATGCAGTTGGCTTAGGATTTCTGTGCTTCTCTAGGGATAGTAGCATTTTTTACACTGTTTTTAAAGCATTATTTAAAAAAAAAACCCTTTGTGTTATTCGAAAAATTCATATTTTCTGGCAAGTAAAATCGATGATGAGCTACTTCCATGAGCACACAGTGACCCTAACAGTATACCTCACTGATGTATTTTATGTTAAGCACACTAAGTTGAGCATTAAGATAGATAAAATCCCACAGAGCTTAAATAACTCAGCTAATCTTTCTTATGACAGATTTTCTAAAGAAATCAGTTCTGGCTTGGTGGAAATAATATCCCCTCCTGAAAGCTATTATCCTGACCTGACAAACTTAAAGGAGACATTTGGAGACTCCAAAGAAAGAGTAAGGTGAGCCTGTGTTGTTTAAGATCCCTCACTCTTGTGAGTGTGATATGGAATAAATGTTTACCATGTAATAAGTATTTATTGGAATGTAACACATTTTACAACTCAGCTAATTTGTGAGAGCTAATGCATTTTTGGTTATTTGATTGGAAAATATGCAGTTTATAATGAGAGGTTGAATTTGCTCTGTGCAGTAACTTTTTTTTTTAAGATTTTATTTATTTGAGAGAGAGAGAGCATGTGCACACACAAGCTGTGGGGAGTGGCAGAGGGAGAGGGAGAAGCAGGCTCCCCACTGAGCAGGGAGCCCGATGCAGGGACTCAATCCCAGGACCCCAGGATGATGACCTGAGCTGAGGGCAGACACTTAATCACGGAACCACCCAGCCACTCCATTCTATAACTTTTATAACTGCTGTTCTGTGGGTTATGACTTAAGATATATTCAGAATAATGCAAAAGCTAGTTCAGATAGAAACCTAACATCTGTATGCAAAGTAAATGAGTACTGATTCAGTGGAAGTGATAAAAACAATATTACTGTTTTGCAGAATTATATTGTAATAATATAAAAATCCAGTCAACCAGATTTGTCTCTAAATCTCTAAAATTGAAGGACTGAAAACTTTTATTGTATTGTTATTAAAAACAATGTAATCTAAGAGATACTAACATTAGTTTTGAATTTTATGTCACCAGAAAAAAGGAAAAAATCATGTTTTGGGAAGAGATTATATTTCTTGAGTTGTTAATTTGTCTGAAAGATGGATATAACCCTCTAATCAGTTGTCTCTCAAGAAATATTTTAGTTCTAAAAAATTTGGGAATGGTTCTGGTAAATTCTAGGTGGTCTCATTAAATTCAGAACAACTTCCAAGGTATATTCTGGAGAAGTTTACTTTGTATGATTCAAACCCTTTTTTTTGTTTGTTTTTTGTTTTTTAACTTGTTTTTACAACTACTTCTCTTATTCAGCATTAGTCTGTTTCTGTAGGTTACTAGGAATTCCCTGAAAGGACTTAATAATGTAAACTTTAATGTGTTTTGGGTTTTTTAAGCATTCAGTACAATATTTTATTAATTTCTGCCTTCATGCAAAGCAGTGATCCTCAAAGTATAGTTCTTGAAGGACCATTTCCCAGAAGCACTAAGATATTACATTTGAAAAAAGGGCCTTCAGTCGAAGGAGTTTGGAAAATAATAGACTGAAAGTTTTTTATTCAACAAATCTATTTACTGTTGGATGTTTCCATGCCTGTGATATATGAATATGTCTCCAGAAGGGGGATATATATGATTTGCAAATTTACTTGACATTAGACTCCTTTTTTCCTCAGGACATCTTGGCGATTAGTGTTTTGATAAAGGTTTCGTTAGAGAAAAGTGAATTCTCTTTCATGCTCTCCTACATGGGTGTATCCTATGTGTACATATATAGATACACAGGTATCTGTGGGTCGACAGATATTTTGTATATATGGTCTACTGTGTGTATGCAATGTATGTATATATATTATAAAATGTAACATGTAGTAGGCATTATAAAATATTTACATTGAATCTTATTTTGCTAAATTTGAGTCTGATTCCTAACTCATTTCTGAAAATTTTTATTTTAGATGGAGAACAAAGCAAAACCTAGATTATTGTTTTCTAATGATGTATGCTCAGGAAAAGGGAATATATTACATTCAGGTAAGTATGGTTTGTCCTGTAATGTTTTTCACACTTGTAAGGAAAAAGTAATATCCAGAGTATATGTTCATTAAAACAGGAAGTTTTGAAAGTGTAAGCCTTCTAAGATGTATAAGATGATAACAGTGTATCAGAGAGCAGAAGGGTTCGTCACAGTCACAGTCACTGAGAATGTGGGCTCTGCTGTTCCGTTCTCTGGTTTAGCACAAACACTAGCTTTCCACTTAATGGTGTGATGGTGGGCAGGTCACTCATCTCTTTCCTCTTCTCCTGTCCCTCCATCTTTGCTCTCATTCTGCCTCTCTCCCCTGTTAAAAAGAGCTAAAGTTTAATTACTTGGCAGACTTTAAAGAAGGATTTTTTTATAGTAGTTTTTTTTTTTTTAAGATTTATTTATTTATTTAGTTGACAGAGAGACAGTGGGAGAGGGAACTCAAGCAGGGAGAGTGGGAACACTGAGCAGGGAGCCCAAAGTGGGGCTCCATCCCAGGACCCTGGGATCATGACCTGAGCCAAAGGCAGACACTTAACAACTGAGCCACCCAGGAACTCGGATTTTCTGATAGTTTTTTTGTTGGTCTTACAGTAATACAGTTTTCTTTCTTCTTCTTTTTTTTTTTTAATGGTACAATACATGAACATTTATATTGAAGATAGTAAAACTGACATTTAGCTGTAATGGTCCAGCTTTTAGCAGCGTGGCTCAGAGACTAAGTCTGTCATGATACGGCTTTTAAGTTAGCCAGGTAGGCAACAACTTAAATAATTGCAGGAGGTTCTTGTTTCTTCCAAATCTCATTCTCCTTAGTGACTTAAGCTTCAATTTTACAGTTGGAATTTCATCTTTATTTCATCTTTATTCCTTGTTCAAAATGCAGATACCCCTGAGTGGCGAAGCACACTAAGCCTGTCAGTTACTTTCTGTTTGTTTGTTTTTTTAGTATAAAAAGTTTATTAGATCTTTCCCTGAAAGGAGGTTTTGATGAGAGTTGCAAGAAGAGGCTCTGGGTCCCTGAATCAGAAAGGAAGTAAATGGCTTTGCAGCTGCTGGCAGGGGTTTGAGAGGGAAGGAAAGAAAGAGAAGCCTGCTTTTCCGTGGTAGGGCAGTCTTATGGAGCACAGACTTTGTCTCCTTGGACATTTTATCTTGGGCCATGTGCGTTCAAATGTGCAGGCACCCTCTCTTGGTTCTCAGTTTGGGAAATGTTAATGATGATAGGGTCAGAATATAACATTGTGTGTACAAGAGTTGGGAGTATAAAAACATAGTATCCTTTAAATGTCTTAGAGAAGTCTTACTTTAATTTTAAGATAATAGCTTCAAAACATTTTATTTCATGTGCCCCATATTATTATAGTTGAATCTTGCTGTTTGTTCTAGGGCCTCTGTATATTTACATGATGGTCAAGAACTTTATGGAGAGCATTTAAAAGTGTAGTTACGTTGCTTTTAAAATGGGTTTTAAATTTATCTCTAACCATAGAATTCATAGACTCTTAAAGCTTTTTTTTGTGTGTGTGTGTACGTGGAGTATAGAAAAAGTAAGCGTTTAGGAAATTAACAAAAGGATAGGGTGAAGAAAGAGGATAAGGCAGGGGTGCCTGGGTGGCTCAGTCCGTTAAGCATCTGCCTTCGACTCAGGTCATGATCCCAGAGTCCTGGGATAGAGTCCCATGTTGGGCTCCTTGCTCAGTTGGGAGTCTGATTCTCCCCTGCCTGCTGCTCCGCCTGCTTGTGCTTCCTCTCCCATTCTCTGTTAAAATCTTAAAAAAAAAAAAAAAAAAAAAAAAGGATAAAGAAAACTTTGGTTAAGCAGGGTGTGTATATGTGGTGTTAGAACCACAGTAGCTATGAACTGACACTTAAGACACACTTCACACGTCGTACATTTTTCTTTCCAACTTACGCTTTACACATACTTACTCATTTAATACAACTCTTTTTTGCAAGAACAAGATCATACTGTACCTGCTGTCTCATAGCCTGTTGTACTATTGTTTCACTTATGGTAGACACCTTAACAAGCCAGTGATTACAGGTAGGAATACTTTTTAATCACTTATTGAAGTATCATTATTCAGATATCATAATGACCTTATTCTTGGTCATTGAGATTGTTCCCAACTCTTTAGTTGTGTCACAGATGAATCCAGTGAACATCCCTGTAATTGCCTAATTTTCTCAAAAATTATGCCTCCAAAAAGGAGTTGCTTCGTATTGAAGTCTTCACATGATTTCATATTATATAGAATTCTCTCATTGAGTTCATTATGAGCTACAAAGTGGGAAAAACAGATTAGCCTGAAAAGTCCTCAGTTTAATATTGGTTTTAACTATTTGTGAAGGATAGAGTTCACCCAGCAAAATGGGGGAGAATTAGTGTGAGGAAGCAAAGGGATTTAGTACAGACTTGATAATTATGCTAGGTGTGTATCTTCGTGTTGCATCTGCTGGGATGTAGCCTATCCAGGACTTTGAGAGAGTGCTTTTAAAAAGGCAGCCAACTCTATGTTCAGCACAGGCATATTCCTAAAGGAGAAAAAAAAAGGCCACCTGTTCTAATGTTATGTTTATGGCTTGGAATGAAGTTTCCTGTCACAGAATCTCACACTTTGGTACAGTGCTGTATCACAGCTAACTTGGAATTGAAGAGTGTCTTCTAGAATGCTGTTGAGTGTTTCCTACCGAATCGTGTCACAATGCCCATTTCGTGCGGTTGTCCCGGCTGTTGTGATGCTGACATTAATCAGTGGGCTTGGTGGCCAGCCTCATCTCTCCTCTATGTAAAGCTCCCCAGCAGCCACTCCCCCTGTGATTTCTGAAATCATTGATTATTTTTCCCCAGATAAGTCATTTCCTTAGAGGTGGCCAAGTGATAATTTTCTAATTCTGTAACTTGCAGTGTTCTTAGAAGCTGAGTTCTTGTGTAAAGAACTTCCCCTCCTTGTCTGTCTGGTTACCTTAAAAAACAGTTCACTAAGGAAAGGCAGAATAAATGCCTATTCTTTCTTTTCATTAATTCTTCTAAAGTTGGTATCTGAGAAATCTCCAGTGGTGGTCATTTAAAAAACATTATTGTGAACTCATGGATTTTTAAAATAGATTTGATTTGCCTCAGTCCTTGCAATCATTATTTACGATTGGTACATCAGAAACCAGTGGGAATCTCTTCACGTTGGCTCATGGGACGCCTGGGTGGCTCAGTTGGTTAGGCGTCTGCCTTCAGCTCAGGTCATGATCCCAGAGTACATCGGGCTCCCTGCTCAGCAGGGGTCCTGTTTCTCCTTCTGCCTGCCACCCCCCTTCCTTGTACTTTGTCTCTCTCGCAATATCTGTCAAATAAATAACATCTAAAAAAAAAAAAAAATTGGTTCTTAGATTCCTTCCATGTAAGTCCAGCAATCTTTGATCACTTCTTTGCTGATTGGCACAAGATTTGCACATTTCCTAGAATCAGTCATTTCTCTCAAGGAGTCTTGTTCTTTGTAGAAGCAAATAGTATTTAGGACCACAATCTGGGTGCATGAGATGCTCATTGCTCTTAAGATGTCTTTGCTTCTAGGCCTTTTAGCAAAGAAAAGAGTATTGTATTTCTTAGGAAGAAACTACAAGCTCATGTTGATAGCCCCAAGTCTAATGAAGATTTTAGGGCTTTGTTTTTAATAACATTAAAAGTCTTGGTTTTTAATAACATTATCCTATTAACATAATTCTTTTATTCTACAGTATGTCTGAAATAGTTTCAAAATAGTCATACCAGTATCACTACTAACTCTTAGACTGCTGAATGCTATTTAAGTTTTTTTGTCCTTTTTTTCCCTCCTTAGACTATATCCTAATACGGATATATAGTAAAAATTCTGTGTTTGAAAGCCACTGGAAGAAATTCTTTATACTCTTTGACTATGCTGCCAAATTGATATGAAACTTGGTTTAATTGTTTCATTTCATATTCAGTTTTTAGGAATTTTTATCCTTTTTAGTAATTACAAAAAAATTCCAAAGTCAGAATTGCATAAACTAAGATATACAGAAGTCTCACTTTCATTCCCATCACTCTGTTTTCTCCCTTCCTTATGGATAACCACCATTAGTTTTTTTTTTCTCTTTCTTTCTTCCTTCTTTCTTTCTCTCTCTCTCTCTTTCTTTCTTTTTTTAAGATTTTATTTATTTGAGAGAGTGAGCATGGGGTGGGGCAGGGTGTGTGGCAGGAGAAGGAGAAGTGGACTGCCCTCTGAGCAGGGAGCCCAATGCGGGGCTCCATCCTAGGACCTGAGATCATGCCTGAGCAGAAGGCAGACCCTTAACAGACTGAGCCACCCAGGCACCCCTAGTTTTTTTTTTTGTTTTTTTTTTTTTAATTTCTCTTTGTACTTAAAAAAAAAAAAATTAAGCCAAAATGTAATATATAAAGTCTTCCATATATAATATTCTAATATATAATGCTTGGTTTCTGATAGCACATTTGCATGTTATAAAAACAGTATTTTACATCTTTTTTTTTAATCTTCCCTCTGTGAACTAGTGATCACTAGTGAGTTGTAAGATTTTAGTTCAAGATTGCTCTTGCCATGCCAAAATACCTATGTCATAGAAGCACATATGTTCCTAAAAATCCTGTACCTAAGGGTTCATAGCAGCTTTATTTGTGCTAACCAAAACCTGGAAATAAGCCAGATGTTCTTCAGGTGACACATCTCTACCACAGACATGGAATAATGAAAAGAAACAAACTGTGGATACACACAACAGTTTGTGTGAGGCAACCGTGGGGACTTTAAAATCCAATCTTGAAAGCTTACGTACTGTATGATTCTATTTGTATGGCATTTTTGAAATCACAGGATTGTGGAAATGAGAACAGGCTGTTGGTTACTGGATGCTGAAAGTGCGGAAGGGAGGAGGTGGCTGTCGATCTAAGGAGTAGCAGTAGCAGAAGAATGCTCGTGATGGAATTGTTCTCTCTCTGAAAATTACATGGAACTAAATACACACGCACGCACACACGCACACACACACCCCTAACACACCTGAATGCTATAAGACTATTGAAATTTAATAAGATCAGTCAATTATACGGTCAGTCAAGTGTAGTGCAGTTACACTAGAGGATGTTAGATTGGGGAAAACTGGGTGAAAGGTATTAGGGATCTCTATATGTTGTCTTAGAGCCACATAGGAATCTACTGTTACCAAGTTTTTTAAAAAGTGAAGTTGCTTATATACAGAAATCTGTTGGATTTCTGTACACTAATAACAAAGTAGCAGAAGAAGGAATTAAAACAGTCGGCTTCCATTTGCACCAAAAAAGAATAAAATACCTAAGGTTAAACTCTAACCAAGGAGACGAAAACATGTCCTCTGAAAACTAAGACGGTGATGAAAGAACTTAAAGATGATACAAACAAATGGAAAGATATTCCATGCTCATGGAGCGGAGGAGTTAGTATTGTTAGAGTGTCCATACAGCCCAAAGCAACCTACAGTGCAATCCCTATCAAATACCAACAGCGTTTCCCCCAGAACTCGAACAAATAATACTAAAATTTGCATGGACCCACAAAAGACCCTGAGTAGCCAAAGCAGCCTTGAGAAAGAACAGCAAAGCTGGAGGTACCACAATCCCAGACTTCAAGCTACCTGAGACCGGAAAGCGTAGGAATGAAAACATTATAGTTCAAGCTCAAAGACAGACACATGGACCAATGGAACAGAATAGAGAGCCCAGAAGTAAAAGTGAAGTTGTTCGATGAGACGTGAGAGTGGAACAAAGCAGTTTTCCTAATTGAATGTAAAATGTGAGTTGGCAACCAGAATGAGTGTACCAACTTTTAAATAGGGCTTTGACTATTTCATCTACATCTCTGTGCATGTAATTAGTCCCCATCTTGTTTTTGAAGTTACCTATCGGAAAAGTTTGTAGCTGCCTGATACTAGGGATCATCTTGGCTTTGGGTGAAGACGGTGTTTAGGTTTGAGCGTGGGCCCCTCTTCTTTCAGAGGAAAGTAAGGTGTCAGTGTGGTTCTGTGCTTTGTCTAGTTTCCCCTCCAGCTTCCCTAAAGCTCTGGAGGCATAGAACATGTTTTCACCAGTGTATTCTCTAGGGTTAGTACACAATAGAAGGCTCAGTAAAATATTTGGTGGGTCCATGTCCTGTCTTTCCAAATACTCCTACTGTTTCTTCACAGGGTAAAACAAAGAAAGCTTGTAGGATTTAAATACATGAAAAAATTTACGTATAAAAATAAGTGAAAATTGCTTAGCCCAGGTAACTAGAAGTGAGAACAGGAAATTAAAAACAGGAAAAAAATTTTTAGGGTATTAAAATCACCTTTGACTTGGAAATTTTATGAGAGGAGATCCTGGGGAGGAAGTCTTATGCATGTACTTAGTCCCTGATCTTTGTCAGCTCCCAGTTAAATTGGTAAATATTCCAAGCATAAATAACACGTGTGCCGGCAGAGCATAGGGGGTTAACTGGCACTCTGAATTGCCACAGTTTCTTAAGTATCTTGAAGATATCATTTATTTGTTTATATTACTTAACAGGATATTTATTTTAGAGAGAGGGAGAGAGAGCAAGGAGAGGGGCAGAGGAAGGGGGAGGGAGACTCTCAAACAGACTCCCCGCACTGAGCACAGCCTGATGCGGGGCTCGATCTCATATCCTGAGCTGAAATTAGAGTCAGACACTTAACCAGCTCAGCCACCCAGGGGCCCCTAAAAATAGCTTTTAAAATTTCAAAAGTAAACTTTCCGGAATCTGTCCTACAGAAATGAAAAGCACTAATACGTAAATATAAGCAGATTTATTGCATCATTGTTTGCATTGACAAGAAGTGAGAAACAAGCTGGATGTATGTGTACAATGAGGGAAGAGTTGACTGAATTGTTTAAAGTTGATATCATGGAATATTAAGCATCTACTAAATATTTATTAGCCTGGAAAGATATTCATGATATAGTAAGAGGAAAAGAAGACAGTGTGGTAATAAGATCCCTTATTTACAGAAATGTAAATGGGAATGGGAACCTGAGTACAGATGGGTCTTTTTGTGCTGTGTGGCCCTATAGAAGGCATCAAATGGATGCCCACCCAACTTTTTTTAAAAATTTTTTTGTTTTTTAAAGATTTTATTTATCCATTTGAGAGAGAGAGAGAGAGCATGAGAGGGGAGACGTCAGAGGGAGAAGCAGACTCCCTGTGGAGCTGGGAGTCTGAAGAGGGACTCGATCCCGGGACTCTGGAATCATGACCTGAGCTGAAGGCAGTTGCTTAACCAACTGAGCCACCCAGGTGCCCACCCACCGAACTTTTAACATTGGTTACCACAGCTGGCAGGCTGGAGGGCAGAGAAGGAAAGTTACTGGCTTTTTGACTTAGTACATGTATTATGTAAAAATTTTTTAAAAATTTAAAGGCTTATAAAAATTCTCTTCCTTTGAAAAGTAAAAAGGGTAGTGTGAAATTGTGTTGGGCACTATGAAAGGACCAAAAAAGGGTATTCATGGAGTGGACTGATTTCCCACAGTAAGGGAGTGGTTCAGGTGACTTGCTGTGTGCCTCTTCCTTTTGTTTTCCTCATTTTCTTTCAAAAAATTTTATTTTTATATTTTCATCATTTTTGACCATTTTTTGATTTGCATTATGAAGTATGCTTAAATTTTCTTATAATAAAGAATGTCCTTTTATCTGAATCTTTTCATCTCTGATTTATTAATCTGATTGTTCAACTTTCTTTAGCTTGAAGATGATATTATTGTCAAACAAAATTACTTCAACACTATAAAAAATTTTGCACTTCAACTTTCTTCTGAAGAATGGATGATACTCGAGTTCTCCCAGCTGGGCTTCATTGGTAAGAATAGTGTCAGATTTAGCTACTTTTCAGAAATAACTGTGACTCTTGGAATCTTAAACTAATTTCTTTTACCTTAAAATTGTCTTTTTTCCCCCGGAAATGGATTGCTTTTGAGGAAATTGAATTTTAGGTAAACTTCTGCATATGAAATGATGAAAGTCAACCCAAAATAATATTTGGATACTTCTGAGATTGCAGTATTTACTGTGGAGTACACACACAGGGCCAGCCATGGTCCCGAGCATATCTGATTTCTTCTCTGACCCCTCTAGTCGCTCTTTTAGTGCCCAGAGCTCTAGTAGGATTGGGGTTCTTTTAAAAAGAATGCTACACTAAATGTTTTCTAGTATGAATTCCTGGTGTTTGATGTAGTCCTTGAAGTTCTTGTTCAGGGATTAATTTGTATTCATTTGTTGCTTTCATAGACTAATTAAGGTGCTCATTTAAAATATTTTTTTCCACTAAAATCCCTAAATTCTGTAATTATGAAAGAACATATTGAAAGCTGAAGAATTGCAGGAAGTTTACAGGTTTTAGAAAAACACTTAGAGAATAACATTTCACTTCCTGTAGTACTTTAAAACTTTAAGTATTAGAGGCTGGGCCTTTGACCTTGTTGGCTGTTTATCTCAAAACTTAAGAATCAAAAAACATCTTTACTTGTGAAAGTTGCATTGCAGACAGAATTAGGAAACCTTGTTTTTCTGCAGTTACTGATTTGGTTAAATTTTTTTTTTAACCTAAACCTAAAAGAACCTAAATTTCCTTTTTTTTTTTTTTTTTTTTTTTAATGGGAAGAATTTTAATAAGACATGAAGGAAAAGTCTCTGACTTGGTTCTTGAATCCTTTGAGCCGGTAGCTGAATGATAGATTTTGTAATGGAGAAAGTCAGGAGTTCAGTAGATCTGTTTATCCCCAGGCGACAACTCAGAATGTTTAGCTAAAGCAAGTTTGTTTGCTTTTGACAAGACAAGTGGGGAAGTTATTCTTCATGACTTCTGTTTGAAATCACAAGCTTTTATATATTTGTTGTTAATCTCACTTATTTAAGCCATTTTGTTGCTTGGTTTCTTCATAACAGCTGTTGACTGAGAATTTTTTTTTTTTTTTTCAGGTAAAATGTTTCAAGCACCAGACCTCACTCTGATCGTGGAATTCATATTTATGTTCTATAAGGAGAAACCCATTGATTGGCTCTTGGATCATATACTCTGGGTCAAAGTCTGCAACCCTGAAAAAGATGCAGTAAGTTGATTTCTTATTAGGGTAGATATAGGAGTGCTGACAAACATGACTTCCATCTTAGGCCTATCATTTTGTTTGTGTTCATTCCACAACCACTCCTGGGGCCACGTGCTCAGGGTGCGTGATGATTAATATACAACATAGTTTAGAAATGCCACCTTAGGCTAGGTTGGAGAGAGGTTTGTTCTGGTCTCCCCTGTATCTGTTGGAGATAAGAGTCTTTCCCCTTCCTGACACCCAGGTGGTACTATGAGATCTAATTAAGGGCTAGCTGTCAGTTAAGTGCCTGCAAACCCTTTGATCTCACTCCAGGGTCCTTGCTCACTACAGTGTGTCCTCTTGCTCTATAAAACCTGTGGACTAAGGTCCAGATCTTGTAGAGAATCACTGCATAGTTGGATCCTCACCCCACCCAATTCCACCCCTCCCCCGTAACACACCCTACAGCATCAGTTACCCTGAATAAAACCGTGCTTTCTCAGTTTGAGGGATACTTTATTGTCCCTCCCCTACCTTCTACCAGGGGAAGAGGCTTCTTTTCTCTGTCTTGTGAAAGTGACTTTCAAGAAGCCAGATAGCTGAATGAAAGCAATGACATTTGAAGTGCTTGCTTGCTTTCTTGAACTGACAGAAAATCCCTAAATTAGAGGGACTTTTAAATAACAGTGGAAAATCCCTTAAATCAGGGAAATCCACCTTCCTTCAGGTTGCTGATAATGTTCGCGGTGTCATTAGGCTCTGGTATTTCATTACTGTGGGCTATAGATGTTCTCCTATCTGTCCTCAGCTTTCTTCATACTCTGTCATTTTTCTTTTCTCAAATACTTTGGGGACAATATCGGGCCCAGCACATCTGGAAATAAGAAATAAAATAGCAGTGATATTTTATACCAAAGCAGTGGCAAGTCAAAAAGCACTTTTTAGTATATTACTTGCAAGATACCGGTGTTCATATGCTGACCTTTGGGGTGATGGTAGCAGGTAAATGAGTCAATGATGATTTTTGTCTTATCATGTTATTTCCATAGAAATCTTGTTATAAGAAGTAATTAGCTATGTTTTCCTTGTCCAATTTGAATTGTACCTCTGGAAAAAAAATTCTTTTTTTGATGTAAGCATAAATGTGAATACACATTCTTAAAAATAAGTCATTTTCTTTTTTAATTATTTATTCATGAGAGAGAGAGAGAGAGAGAGAGAGGCAGAGGGAGAAGCAGGCTCCTGAGGAGCAGAGAACCTGATTCGGGACTCAATCCCAGGACTCTGGGATCATGACGTAAGCTGAAGGCAGGCGCTTAACTGACTGAGCCACCCAGGCGCCCCCAAAATAAGTGATTTTTGACATGTAGTAACAGGAAGTCTTTGTTATGGGAATGTGTCTTTACAGGGATGACTTAATATTCATTCTAACAAACCTTTAATTTGACTTCATGACCTTATTATCTAGAATAGTTTGATCATCCTACCTGCCACTTAGTTTTTAGGACACTGCCTTCTGGTGTTTGTAAGCTATTGTTACATTCTTTTTTGTCTGTTTGTTTGTTCTTAAACCACTTTCTTAGGGCAAATCATGGAACAGAACCAAATAGCAAAGTAGCTACTTTACAACAATGATTGAACATATAAATTGATTTGAACAACTTTTATGATGTAAGTCCTGACCTGTATTTTCTTTGTGATTTACAGGCATTTTTATCGTAGGACATAGGAAAATTCAGGTGATCATTTCACTCCTACGGTATACTTGCATTCAACTGGTCCTCTGCAGTATTTCATCTCCTATAGGGTTAGCTTCTAAATGAGTCTGGGAGGTGAGAATCTCTGATAGTAGAAATGAAAACCATTTAAATCCTCTATAAATTTTAGCACACAGCCCTTTGGCCAGTTTGATCAATCTTTTCTGTCACTGCTTCTTAGGCCATGTTTTTCTGTGGCCTGTAATTCTTCAGTTGCTTCCGCTAGGATGTCGGGGAAACTGTCTCCACATGCTGGCAGCCTCCAGAACAGTAGCTCTTTGACACTGGGTGGAAAATTCAACAGGTTTATCAACCCACTTGGACTCTTCAGGCACCAGTGAGTCCATCGCCTGTCATTCTCTTTTTCCCCTCCCTCCCCCACCCTCTCTTCCCCCTTCCCCCTTGCTCTTCTCCTTTACTCTTCCTCCCTTCCTTTCCCTCACCTTCCATTTGAGTAGTTGAATTTTGTGTAAATAGAATATGTTCTATTACCTCTACTGTAGTGTTAGTAATAACAGTAATGAAGTAAAACCTCTTGAGAAAAATTAAGCATTTTTGTACCCAGGAAACTATTGGAGGCCTTTCCAAGTGGAAATGTCTTACAAATAAAAGTACATTCTTCGTCCAGAACTTGTAAAAGTCACTGAAAGTGAGAAGAGTTGATAAAAGCCTGACAGGACAGCTGAAGCTGTCTTCAAGTACCGAGTTAACCCACAGGGGGCGCCCTGCTGGCATTCTGGGTTTCCCACACCCGGACCAATCGTGAGGACAGGTTGTAATCTGAAGTCTGGACCTGGAGGCACTTCACATGGAAACACAAGTTGTCCTGTAACTGTGCTGAGTTGAACTGTGGAACTTGAAATACCTAAGGAGCAGTGACAAAAAAGATTGATCAAACTGGCCAAAGGGCTGTGTGCTAAAATTTATAGAGGATTTAAATGGTTTTAATTTCTACTATCAGAGATTCTCACCTCCCAGACTCATTTTAGAACCTAACCCTATAGGAGATAAAATACTGCAGAAGACCAACTGAATGCTTATGGTCAAGCTGTTGCCTTGCATTTTCAGATAACTTTGATGCAACAAAATATGCCTTTTATTATTTGCAAATCCTTTGTTATATCATCCAATTAAAGACATTCTATATATTTGAACCAAACCTCTAGGTTATAGTGTGTGCATTTTAATTTTAAAAGTTGAATGGACATTTTGACGTATCCTGAAGATGGTTGAAATTAAATCCTGAACTCTTCTCTTAGCTGTGCTTATTTTAAATTTTTTTCATATTAAATCTGTTTATCTAGTAAGTAGCAAATCTCAATGTGTTAAAAAGGACCCTAAGAATTGTGATTTGGAATTATGAGATAAGTTGGATTTTCTTTTCAATATTCTTGAAAAGGACTTTCGAAAGGGGCACCTGGGTAGCCCAATTGGTCGAGTGTCCAACTCTTGGTTTCAACTCAGGTCATGATCTCAGGGTTATGAGATGGAGCCCCACGTCTCAGGCTCCATGCTGGATGTGGAGCCTACTTACAACTCTCTATCTCCCTCTCCTTCTGCCCCTCCCTGACCCCTACTGTGTCTCTAAAAAAAGGAAAAAGAAAATAAAAGGACTTGTGGCTTTTCTGATGAGGACAAGATTTCATTTTGTAATGTGACACTGACATGATTTTTTTTTTTAATATTTAGAAACATTGTGATAGACAGAAAGCAAATCTACGAATTCGCTTCAGACCTTCGCTTTTCCAACATGTTGGTCTGCATTCTTCTCTATCAGGAAAAATACAGAAACTCACGGTTGGTGATGTAATTTTATTTTCCTCATGCACATACAGTTTGTTATTTAGTGTTTAGTCACTGATTATTCTTCTTCTTAAGTATAAATGAGCTATATGATGTTTAACAGCGTATGTGTTTCTCCTCTTAGGATAAAGATTACATGAAACCATTAATTCTTAAAATCCATGTAAACCCACCTGCAGAGATATCTACTTCTTTGAAGGTCTACCAAGGACATACACTGGAGAAAACTTACATGGGGGAGGATTTCTTCTGGGCTATAACCCCAGTAGCCGGAGACTACATCTTGTTCAAATTTGATAAGCCAGTCAATGTAGAAAGGTTGGTGGCTATTGAAATCTATTTGGTCTTAAAATTTTACACCTCTTCTTAGTGTGATTTACGATGGATTTTTTTTTTTTTTTAATGTGTATGACTGATGTGAGGAGACGGTGGGTCCCAAGTGTTAGATGGTAAAATACTTTCCTACAACTTAGTAGTAAAATGGGTGTGTTGTTTTTAGATAGGACATCAGCTCTTACCATGTTTGGTAAATTCTTGGTATCGTTGAACAGATATTTAGTATAGTATTTTAGTACTTTCAGGCAGAACTCTTCCTCAAAATATAGATTAGTTTTCATGTCCTTATTCTAGAATATCCCTCAGGTTTGACTGAGAGCTAGTCAGTTACCTAGCAAATTGGCTGAAATGATACTTTTGACAGACTGTGACCATCTCTAGTCAGTGATTTTACAAATGCTGGCTTGCTTTTAGACCACAGTGGAAGAATTTATAACCCTTTTATGTTTTTCAGAATTTATGTTCATTTAACAGAATTTAGGATTCTTTTCTGCCTGTTTTTTAACAGTCATGATTTCCCCCAACCTTTCTTCAGTTTGGGGTGTATTCCCCAGACTATAAACCATCTGTGGTACACTTAAATATAATCCCCGAATGGAATATAATTCTGTAGCCTGGGGCACATTGTGTCACGTGTTCTTGTGTGAGGTGTGTCCCGTTGTTAGAACCCACCAAAACTCATTTGGAATAATTCTACTTAAGGTTTTCAGAAATAGTGCGTAGTTATCATGTTATTGATTTTATTTTATTACTCTAAACTGATTCTAAAGAGGAATTTAAGTGTGTAAAAATGTTTTGGGCAATATGGTGAGTGCTGTGAAGTGTGTAAACCTGGCGATTCACAGTTCTGTACCCCTGGGGCTAATAATACATTATATGTTTATTAAAAAAATTAAAAATAAAAAACAGTGTTTTGGGCAATGGGACTATCCCTGGAAAAACCTAAAAATACTTTGGAGTAATATTTCACATTTATGAATATATAATATTTTGTTGTTAAATTTAATGTTCATTTTTATACTAGATAGTATGATATTCAGCACTTTGAAGTAGTATTTACCACACTTAAAAGAGTCATCATAGGGGATTTGGGCAGCTCAGTTGGTTGAGTGTCTGACTCCTGATCTCAGCTCAGGTCTTGATCTTAGAGTCAGGGGTTTAGGCCCTGTGTTGGGGTCCGTGCTGGGTGTGGAGCCTACATTGAAAAAAAAGATGTCATCATAAATATCTGAAATGGGGTTAATATCCAAAATATGTAAAGAACTTATACAACCCAATACCAAAAAAGCAAATGATTTGATTAAAAAATGGAGCAGAGGACCTGAAGACACATTTTTCCAGAGATGACATATAGATGCCCAACAGATGGATGAAAGGGTGCTCAGCATCAGTAGGCGTCAGGGAGAGGCAAGTCAAAACAACGAGCTGTCTCCTTATACTAGTCAGAATGGCTAAAATCAGAATGACAAGAACGAACAAGTATTGGCAGGGGCGTGGGGCAAGGGGGCCCCTTGTGCACTGTTGGTGGGAATGTAAATTGGTGCAACCGCTATGGGAAACAATATGGAGGTTCCTTAAAAAACTAAAAATGGAAGTACAGTATAATGCAGTAATTCCACTACTGGGTACTTAGCAAAGGAAAGGAAAACACCACTTCAAAAAGATTCTTGCAGCTCTATGTTTATTGCAGCATGAGTAACGGTAGCCATGATGGGGAAGCATCCCAAGTCTCATCAGTGGAAAGCCAGGTAAGATAAGGAGATTGTGGTGTATATACCCATGAGGGAATATGCCGCACAAAGGATGAGATCCTGCCTTTTGTGACAATGTGGATGGACCTAGAGGGTATTAAGCTAAGTGAAGTAAGTCAGCCTGAGAAAGACACATACCACATAATTCCACTCAGGAATCTTAAAGAAAACAACCCACGAGTAAACAAAAAGCAGACTCAGACCTGTGAGTACAGAAAACAAACTGGTGGCCAGAAGGGGCGGGGAGTTGGGGGGGTTGGGCAAAATGGTGAAGGGGAGAGGGAGCTACAGGCTTCCAGTGATGGAATGAGTAAGTTGCTGGCATAAAAGGCACAGCATAGGGAATACAGTGAGTGACAGTGTAGCAGCCCTGTACAGTGACAGATGGCAGCTGCCCTTGTGGTGAGCTCAGACTCACACAGAGACGGTGGATCACTGTGTTGTACACCTGAAGCTAATGTACCATTGTGGGTCAGCTATACTCAGAGACTTCTAAACAAAGAGTCATCATACAATTAGAAACAATTTTTTCACCTCCATAAATCAGAATAGTCTCAGACCATTTCTGTTGGTTTATTTTTAACAAGTTAAAATTGTGCCAGCAAAGAATCTGCTAAAGAACTCCTGTATTGGAGATCAGATTTGTTAACAAATGTATCTACAATAAACTTCTATAAAGTATATGATCCCACTGAGGAGCCATTTCTAAGTAAAACACAGTTCTTTTAAAATGAGAGTATATCTGAATTTTCTCAGAGTTCATGGAGAGACCGCCCCCCACCCCCGCCAGAATAGGGAAAAGGAATCACTTTTGACTTGCACAATAATGGACTTGCTGGGGGGGGGGGGTGGTAAAGCAGAAGTTGTATTTATCAGTACAGAAATTAAGTGGTAGGGAAAATATTTTCTGACCACATATTATGATATGTTTTGATTACATAAAAATTTTAAAATACGAAAAAATGAGGGAAAGAAATCACAACCCCGTAGACACCATTGTGATCATATTGGCACTTTCTACTTTGAAAGCCATTATGGTCTGTATGTAATTTTATGTCTTATATTTTCCATCATAATTTGTCATAAATGATTCATAAACATTTTTTAATACCTTTTTTAAAAGATATTTTTATTTATTTATTTGACACAGAGAGAGATTACAAGTAGGCAGAGAGGCAGGCAGAGAGAGGGGGAAGCAGGCTCCCCGCTGAGCAGAGAGCCTGATGTGGGGCTTGATCCCAGGACTTTTGAGACCACAACCCGAGCCAAAGTGGAGGGGCCCAACCCAGTGAGCCACCCAGGTGCCCCTTGTAAACATTTTAATAGTTGCACATTCTCCCCACTGTTGGCTATACCATCATTTACTTCTTCTGATATTAAACTTTGTAGATCATACTGACTCTTCTGCTGTAATCTCATAGTAAACACCTCTGAATCAGTCTGTCTGAACAGCAAATTCTGTCCATCATTCCTTTCTTTTTTTCTTTTTTTTAAAGATTTTATTTATTTACTTGACAGATAGAGATCACAAGTAGGCAGAGAGGCAGGCAGAGAGAGAGAGGAGAAAGCAGGCTCCCCGCGGAGCAGAGAGCCCGATGTGGGGCTCGATCCCAGGACCCTGGGATCATGACCTGAGCCGAAGGCAGAGGCTTTAACCCACTGAGCCACCCAGGTGCCCCCCATCATTCCTTTCTTAAAAGTAGCTTCCTCTGTTTTGTATTGGTCTGTAGCTGAGGTTATGAGTGACCCATAGTTATAGCAGGTAGCATTTCAAGTCAAAGATGTCTTTCTAAAAAAGGTGTCTCTCATCTGAAAATGCTGGAATTAATCTTTGGCATAGCCTAGAGGGAGCCGAGGGTGCCCTTCCCTCTGTAACACTGGAAAATCCGGTCTTCATCCCAGATGATTTCTGCCCACCAATACCATACTGTACCGTTAGCCTTCTGTCACTGCTCCTTGCAGTACTTTGAATAGGCAGGGTATTTTGTCAGTTCTCATAAACTCATAAACTTGCTACAGTCCCGTGAGGTGGGTGAGAATCTCTGCGCTTTTAGAAGAAACTCAGGCTCAGGAAGCTAATGTAACTTGCTAAAGGTGAGAATTCTCTAAATGAGAGACTAAATGAGAGACCTAGGATTTGGATCCAGGTCTTTCTAAATCTAAACTTTTAACCGTTTAACTTAATTAAAGTTGTTTTCTATCTTTTCTTTTTTTTTAAGATTTTATTCATTGATTTGACAGGGAGAGAGCAAGTGCAAGTGGGCAGAGAGGTAGGCAGAGAGAGAAGGAGAAGCAGGCTCCCCCCTGAGCAAGGAGCCTGGTGTGGGGACTCGATCTCTGGACCCTGGGATCATGACCTGAACTGAAGACAGCCGCTTAACAGACTAAGCCACCCAGGCGCCCCTAAACTTAAGTTTTCAGTTTAGATTTAGATATGCTTTGCATGCCCTGTCTGGGTTGTACACCCGCCCTCCCTCCCTCCTTTCCCCACATACACTTACACACACACTGGTTTTCAGGGTGTCAGAACCTGAGGACATTATCCTCATACCCAGGGAGTATTTTAGATTGATCATAGTTGATATTGAGATGTTTGTTCATAGTGATAAGTGGAATTATTTAGATATTTGGAATTGGTTAATTTACTCTCAGGCTCCTAATACTGAAATTATTTGCATTGGATAAAGCTAGTCTTTGAACTTGCCATGGCTCATGGCAGGCCTGGTGAAAATTTACTCGGGCACAAGATACAGTAGTATTTTGTAGGTGCTGCAGCTTCGATTACTCTTCGAGGGTAGTGTACGTTTAAAACAGTGTGAACCGCAGCCTAAAATTGTCTTTTTTTTTTTTTTTAAAGTCTGTTAAATACATTATTACGTCAAGCACCACACATGCCCCTTCCGATGGAAGGAATTAACACATCCCCTCAGTGTTGCATCCTTGGGTTTTTAGGTTCCCTGCAACTATTCGGAATAGTAACGCGCTCTCGCTACGCGCCCTGGTGCAGTCCCCGCTCACCCCAAGCCCTGCTGGGAAGGCTCACTGTGAGGTGAGGCGGTCTTCCTGAATCTTCGTCAAGTCTAGTCTGACTCATACTTTTATGTTTGTCTTTTCAGTTACTTGTTCCACAGCGGCAACCAAGAACATCCAGGAGATATCCTGCTCAACACAACTGTGGAAGTTTTGCCTTTAAAGGTATGCCTGTTTCTTCCCCTAATTCTTCAGAACTAAGACTAGGAGACTTGGTTTGAGGTTATCCTTACTGATGAGGTGAAAGAAAATTCTCTCGTTTGCAGGGCCTTTGTGACAAGCAATATTATTTTTTTTTTTTTTTGAAATATGGAACACTTAGTGTATTGTCCCATCTGTCTTATTCATAGAGCCTCCATTTTGTTTCCTGTTGGAAAATAACTTGGAAGTTCCTACTAGGAAAATAAGTGAATTATCATTTTACTTTAATGCTTAACTGGTGTTTATATTTTGAGTCCCAAAATGCCATGTGGTTTTAATGCCTGTTGTTTAATACACAAAATTAATTTTACTGGTCTTTAAGTAGTGCTTAGTTTTCTTTCAGGTTAACACGGTTTTTTATTTTTAATGAAAAAAATAGTACCCTATTAAATTGGTTTAAATTTAAATTAATTAAAATTTAAATGTTCTAATCAATGTATCATCTGTATTTATTTATATTTATATATTTAAATTTTCTAACCAATCTAGAAAGATACATAGATTCAGATATTATAAAAAAAAGAATGTATTGATAAACTTTTTAAGATTCAAGACTGAGATGACATTTTTCTTTTTTAGAAATAGCTGAGCCGCAAACATCACTTTTGTGTTTATTAAGATATATTAGATCTGTTGTAAATAGAAGTAATAATTTGCAAAGTTAATGTTTTTTGTTCTATTTTAGAGTGAAGGTTTGGAAATAAGCAAAGAAACCAAAGACAAACGATTAGAAGATGGTTATTTCAGAATAGGTAATACCTCCTACTTTAACCTAGTAGAATGTCCTTGACTTTTCTGGACTAACTCCTAAGTAATTATAACTTCTCGTCGGATGTTAAGCACTTTAGGGTTATAGTTACCAATGTCCTCCCAAGTTGTGTGTGTTCTCATGTTTCATACTTTAATTGTCTTGACCCAACCAGGATTTCAGATCAGAGGTTCATTTGCTGGTTCCTCTTTATCTCCCCACCTGCTGTTTCGTGGTTGATAGTCACTGCTAGATCCTCTGCCTTCAGCTGCCTCCTGCCCTCTCTGACCGGGCGATGGTAGCTACTTGCAAGGTCCCAGCAACGTCTGTGTGCCAGAAGCTCTGTGCCTTTTAGCCCCTGCCTCCTTCCTGAGCTTCAGGTCTGTACTGAGATGCTTTCTCTCTCTCTCTCTTTAAGGATTTTATTTATTTATTTGAGAGAGAGAAAGAGCGAGCACCAAAGCAGAGGGGGTGGGGATAAGGGAGAAGCAGGCCACCTGCAGAGCAGGGAGCCCCATGCGGGGCTCGATCCCAGGACCCTGAGATCATGACCTGAGCCGAAGGCAGACGCCCGGGCGCCCCCTGGGATGCTTTCTGACAGGGCCACACAGCCATTTGCTCTGAGCATCTGTGCCAGGGTCATACCTTTCGGTCACCATAGTTTTTGCTGTCACTATTCACCTGGTTGCCTAAGCCCAATCTTGGGAGACACCCTGAACACACACCCCACTTTGTACTGTCCGTTAGCATAAGATATGTCCATCTGGGAATGCCGAGTCACCTGCCCTGGGCTGGTGCTCAGGCCTCTGCCTCTGGGTCTGGGCCGGAGAAGGACTGCCATTCCCTGCGTCCTTCTGCTCGCTTTGCCCAGAACCCCAGCAGTTGCCTTTCTAAAGCGTCCCTGTTACCACGATGTTAGCCTGGAGAGAGATCTTAACGCCTTTCCATGATCACATTCCTTAGCTTCCATCCACTTTCACATCATGTTTCCTTTGATTCTCAGTTTCCCTTGTCCTGAGTCTCTTGTTCCTCTCATGCTCCTTGCGCTCATGTGCAGCTCTGCCTCTGGCCATTTTCTCCACCTGATATTTCTCCTATTGAATGCTTTCTCATTTTCTGTTAAACACTGCAGCTGCCCCTCTTGTCTGCTCTTCCTAACACACTGCGTGCACTTTACTATGTGGCCTTGCCATGTCACATGGCGGTTCCCTGTCACAGCGAGGTGACCTGTCACAGTGCGGTCCTGCGCACTTGGCTGGAAGGCAGGCGGCGATGGCCCTTGGCCGTCTCTTGCAGTTAACATACAGTCTGTTGCTGGATAGGTGTTAACTCAGTGAATGAGAATGTATTTTCTTTTTCTTAAAAGTAATGCTTTTCTTAGTGGTAGGCAGAAGAGAATATTGGTAAGTTTACACTGTAGGTGAACAGGATAGGTACAATCAGAAGACTCTCTTGAGAGTTTTCACATCTGGTGTCATGGTTTCTGCTACAAGGTTTGTGTGATAACCCTAGTTTTTGTGTAGTTTTGGTGGATAGATGAGTTTCATTATTTTCATATTTGGGTTACGTCTAGAAATGTACAAAAAGTTGGCTGCATATCCAAGACATTTATTAACCCTATTACTTGTCCATTATTTAGTTTCTGAGACTATTGTGTTCTAGATTAGGAAAGCATAGGAAATTGACCATCAGTAGTAACTTGAAGATAATGACCATCTAAGACAGCAGCTCAAACATGTTTAGAACAGAAGAGAATGTGTAAATCAGCCAGCCTAGGACCTTGTATAACGAAAAGGTGCATCAGAAACAAGGAGCAACTGATTTCTTTCAACTGAGTATGAAACAATTCCACTCCCTTAAGTATGCCTTAGTGGAATAGCTTCGCAGACCTTCCTCATAGTGGAACAGCCGTACCTGGTGAAAATTATTTTCAAAAAAATAGAGCAGATGGAGAGACATTACTCATGAAAATCTGAATCTGAGTAAGAACATGAAGAGTCGGGGCGCCTGGGTGGCTCAGTGGGTTAAGCCGCTGCCTTCGGCTCAGGTCACGATCTCAGGGTCCTGGGATCGAGTCCCGCATCGGGCTCTCTGCTCAGCAGGGAGCCTGCTTCCCTCTCTCTCTCTCTCTGCCTGCCTCTCTGTCTACTTGTGATCTCTGTCAAATAAATAAATAAAATCTTTAAAAAAAAAAAAAAAGAACATGAAGAGTCTATGGCCTTAGACACCTGACCTGTGCGTTCCCCACACTGCCTGAGCTCAGTGAGACTGGAGCTCTATTCTCGACACTTTCTAGTCAGTCCCAGTTGTGAGGCAAAGAGCCCTGTCAGAGAAACACTGGAAGGACAGGCTGGTGTGCGGTCAGGGTGCGGTAGGAGGGGGAGCCCCACAGGGCATGACCCTGCAAGTCTCGGCCAGTACCAGGAATTGGGAGTTTTAGTCACTCTCCAGTAAGCTCCTCCTTCCTTTCCCCTTTCTTTCCTGTCTCTCAGTGCGGACCTACCAGTTCATTGGGTCAAGAACAAAAATTAAATTTCTTGTTTGGGAAGCTGGTACAGGCACGTGGTACCAAATGCATATCTGAAAACATAAATTTCAGTTTCCTCTGCTCTTTTCTGTCCTCCTTAGTGCTTCCCAGAGGCAGTTCCTTTAAGGATTTGTGTCCTTTCAGAAGTTTTCTGTTCAGAAATGAAGAGATACTAGTATATTCTTTAAAAACACACAATCACAAAGGAATGATAACATGCTGTACGACCTTTGTTCTGCATCTTTTCCCCAATCAAATACACAAGTATTATATACGGAAGAGGAACATTCCAAAAGATCGTAACATTTCAGATGCACAGAAGATACAAGTAATAATGTAATGAGCATCAGTGTGTTTGGCTTAAGATTTGCCAATTCAGTTGTTCTTCCCTAATATCTTCTTTCCCCCTTCCACCCAAGGAGAACTACTGTCCTAAGGTTTGTGGTTACCATTTGTGTGTCCACTTCTACTATGTATGTACGATGTATTCCTGAACAACACGCAGTGTTATTTCGCTTGTTAAATCTGAGCGAAATAATAACCTTCTGTAGTCTACGGTTTCTTTTCTCTCCCCATCATGAGATTCATCCATGTGGATGCGTGTATCTTTGGCTCATTCATTTACTTGCTGTGTAAATGTTCATAGTGGACATATCACTGTCTGTCCTCCTGTTTGCTTATAAAGTTTGTTTCCTTTTTTTTCCCGTTATAAAGAATGCTTGTTTGAACAATTCTGCACACGTATGAGAGTGTCTCTGCGTTGAAAGTGCAAGTAGATCTTTAGCTACATTATCTTCTGTTGTACTTTATTCTTTGTATTCTTCATTCTTTTAATTGGCTGCCTAGTATTTCCATGGATTAACATATCAAGATTTGCATAGCCGGTCACCTAGTGGTGGACGGTTGTTGGCAGTTTTTGCTACAATTTGTAGTCTTTTGTACATGTGAGAGTATATCTGCAGGATAAAATCCTGGTTGAAAGTGTTTTTGTTGTTGTTGTTGTTGTTTTAAAATTTTTATTTATTTATTTGACAGAGAGAGATCACAAATAGGCAGAGAGGCAGGCAGAGAGAAGGGGGGAAGCAGGCTCCCTGCAGCAGAGAGCCCGATGTGGGGCTTGATCCCAGGACCCTGAGATCATGACCTGAGCTGAAGGCAGAGCCTTAACCCACTGAGCCACCCAGGTGCCCCTGTTGTTTTTTGTTTTTTGTTTTTTTAAAGATTTACCTGTTTAAAGAGCGTCTGCATGCACACAGGGGGAAAGGTCAGGGAGAGAGAAAGAGTCTTAAGCAGATTCCCCACAGACCTTGGAGCCTAACACAGGACTCAGTCTCACAACCCTGAGATCACAACCTGAGCCACAACCAAGAGTTGGTTGCTTAGCTGACTGCCTCACTCAGGTGCGTCCTGGATGCAGGTGTTTTAAAGAGGCCAGTTACATCATTAGGTAATTATCTTTCTAATTAAACGAGCTCATCAGATGATAGTACGATACCTCATTAAAGTGTTTCATGTTTCACAGTATTTTTCAGCCCTAAGTTCCCTGCCTAACTCAATAATTCAGTAATACTCTTTTGTAGCCTGTACTTCCCACCCCAGTCTAGCCCCAGCATGGACATACTTTCATGAAATAAGATTATTAATAGGGGCGCCTGGGTGGCCCAGTGGGTTAAGCCTCTGCCTTCAGCTCAGGTCATGATCTCAGGGTCTTGGGATCGAGCCCCACATCGGGCTCTCTGCTCAGTGGGGGAGCCTGCTTCCTCCTCTCTCTCTGCCTGCCTCTCTGCCTGCTCGCTCTGTGATCTTCTCAGAGATCTCTCTCTGTCAAATAAGTAAGATCTTTTTAAAAAAAAATTAATAACTTTTAAATAAGAAATACGTTTAATACTACAAGTCTTCTTGGGGGCACTTGGGTACCTTAGTGAAATGTAGGATTCTTGATTTTGGCTCAGATTGTGATCTCAGAGTTGTGGGATTGAGCCTGACGTGGGGTTCTGCGCTCAGTGTGGAGTCCGCTTGTCTTTCTTCCTTTGCCCTGCCCCAGCTCACATGTGTGCATTCTCTCTCTTAAATAAATAAATAAATCTCTAAAAAATATATTACAGGTTTTCTCTGGTATGATTTTCAGGTTGAACATATCTTACTAAAAGCCTATCATTATTTTGTAAAACTCTAGATTAGGCTGCATAATCTCCACACCAGATAGCCTCAGTCCTGCTCTGGCCCTCTTCCTCTTGTTTTTTTTTTTCCCCCCTCTACTACCTGTTTTTGCTTAGAATGTTTAATTTTTTTTTTGTTTTTATTTTTCAATGGTTTGAAAAAAATGAAAATTTTATATTGTGACATGTAAAAATGATAAAAAGGTTTGATTTCAGTGTCCATAAATAGTTATTGGAACACTTTATTGGTGCTCACTTACTTCTGTGCAGTCCGTGCACTCTGACCCCCAGCGGGAGAGAAGAGCCCAGAGTTGCAGCCAAGAAGAAGGTGGTGCTGGGGCGCTCCAGGCAGTGGCAGTGCAGTTATGATATGACCATGTCCCCGCGCACCACCATCCTGTGACGTTTAAAAAATAATAATAATGATAATAACCAGTGCTTACCCATGATGCCGAAAACTGTGAAAGTGGACTTTGAATGTCAGTGCTTTTTAACCGTGAAAATGTGGCATATTTGATCAGATTGGATGGCAGATCGCCATGGTTATTACGCCGTGATGTGACAGCTGGTCTGGGGAACACATTGCCATCCTGAGCACTCATGCTGTTCCCAACTCACAGGAAAGTAGAGGTCAGGAAATCAGAAGATTTAACAGACTGTATTTCATGACAGCAGAATTTCTTCCCAGAAATAAATGCCCATGAGGCTGTAACCAGAGTGAGTGTCGGGGAGACTCGGGTGTTAGCCAAGTAAATGAAGCCAATGACCAAGCGTACGTTACATCGTATTTAATTGGAGCAGCCAAAGATGTGTGTGCAGATAAAATAAACTTAAGACCATCAAGCTTTCACTCACAACCAACTGCTTGAAGAATTGAGGACACTGGGAACACTATCAGTCAGAAGACAAAGCAAGACCATTGACTGCCTAAGTGTTAATAATGTGATATGGTATTTATAGCATATTTTAAGATAAACTACATGAAAACAAGAGAACACAAGACAGGAAGGTGACAACTAAATGTATATCATTGTAAGATTATTACTAATTGGCAAAATAGAATTTTTTTGAAGTCAGACTGATAAGTACATTATACATAGTACATAGAGTACCAATAAATAATAAAGTGTATATATAAATATAAACATATATACACCAATAGGTAAATGGATATGTTAAAAAAAAAGGGGGGAGTTGGAAAGAGAAAATAAATTTAAGCCCCAGAGTGCTTGAAGGTTTCCTCCCCGTTGTAATTTGAAGAATTATATTTAATATTTATGTAACAGATATTCACATCTTGTTGGGAAAACAGCTTCCTTCATAGAAGGTGGAAAAAATACTGCAAATATTTCGTTATGCCAGGTGTTTATTCTTTCTAAAACCCCAATAGTGTCGTTTTCCTCAAAATTAATCCTGATTATCACTAAATGTTCTTTACTTAGTTGACGCCCAAGTGCTTGACACTCCTTTGTTTGTTTTTGTTTTTTTCCTGGTCTTTGTGCATTTGTGTGTGTGAGGGATTAGATACACTAATGCATTTTGAACCTTTTAGGATGAGGATATTTGTAAGGTCACGGTAGGAAATCCTGCTAGTGCACAGTACCTGGGGGCATTTCAGTGCACAAAAAGTCACAACAAATATAATTATATGTGGGAAATTGGATCTAGACCTGCAGTACAAAGAAAATCTAAAGAATCTTCTTGCCCTAAGGTAACACTAGAAAAAAAAATAGGCTGAATTCTATCATTTCCATTAAAAAAAAAAAAGCAAATTGTTTCCTGGTCTCTTGATGAGTTGATAGAGGTTATAGGTACTGCCTAGTTGTTACTTGGAGTCCATGCCAACCTTGAAGTAACCGAAGCATTGGCCTCTGAAAAGTCTGCATGGAACCAAGTACAGGCAAGAATATTTTCCAACAAGCTGAGGAAACACACATTGAGTACAACCTGAAGTGAAATGTGTTACACTGAATGGTGGTGAAGATATCCATGAAGAAGAAGGCTTAGTTGGATACATGTACAGAGCTTGTGGAAATGTGAGCGAAGCCAGTGGTTATTTTATTATTCATCTGGTACTTTACAGGAACTACTTGAATCTGTCATGTATCATTATTTTATTGAACCAGCAGCAGTCATCAGTGAACTTGATTCATTCTCATGGACTCTGCCATGATCAGTTCTGTGAATTTTTGTCAGAAATAGAAACTGAACAGTATGACCTTCTGGACCACACAGCAGCTCTGGGGCTTAGCTGTGATCAATTTTATAATGAAAAAAATTTAAAAAAAGAACTTTTTTTTTTTTTTAAGCCCAGGAACATTATTGAAATTTTTTCCCAGGACTGCCCTTAACCACTATTATCTCTTAGAAAGTTAGTTTTTGGTGCAGACTTGATGACGTTTTATTCAAGCTAAAATTACAAGACAAAATAGCACTTCCGTGCAGACCTTTTATTCTAGCCAAGCCACTGATGACCGTGATTATTTGAGCTCCAATATCAGACTGATCAAGAAGCTTCCACCTGACTTTCGCTCAAAAGTGACTCATCTGCAGTGTAGTGACACTTGCAAGGCAAGTACTGGGGAGAAGAACCTTATGGAATTCCACGAATACCCTCCAAGTGATGAATATGCTCCAGTAAAATCACGTGCTAGTGGACTGATGTGTTTCGCAGCACCTCGGCTGTGTGAAAGGAATTAGTCAAGATAAAATATGTAAAATCTCATGGATTCATATGAACAGATGAACATTTATGATCGATTTTAATGAGGATCACTTTGAATCCTAGTTAACTGAATGATGTTAACCACTCCCACCCCCCGCACCATCCTAAAAGGAATTATGTTCTCCTTGGTACACCTGCATGGCGGTTCTTATCATTTGAATTTCATGAATAAAAATTTTGTGAACATTTTTTCCCCATCTTTCCATGTAGAAGTGCTAACCTGATATCTTTACTTTTCCTCTTAGTCCACAAAGCTCAAAATATTCACCGTCTGCCCCGTGTAATAAAGGGGTTGCCGGCTCCTGGCTTAGAGAAACATGGCCAAGAACAAAACACTTGTCTGTCACTTTTTCCATTGCATTTTGTTGTTTTAAGAATATTCCTCACAGCAAGAAAAATTGGATATAGAGCATGCTACCTTTTTATAGAACCTCTTGGTCCTAGCTTTTTCAACTTGTCATTTGTAATAGCAGTTTTCTATTAGAACCTCCTGGAGGAGGTATCACTTCTTAATTCCTTCTAGATGTTACATGGGAACAGATACATACAGACTGAGTGCTTGCTCAAGGCCAACCATTATATGTTATGTCTGAAAGCACTGAAATTTGCCATTACTGACTTAACCTTCAAAGGGTTGGACTGAGCCATGGTACAGAGTACACTTTGGTAAGGTTTGGTTAAGTCACATTTTATTAAAAACCTGCATGTTAAAATATTTTTGATGCAAGAACATACACACACACGTTTAATTTGCAGTAAGAGGAAGTATAGCTCTGCCTCTCTTACTAGGTGCTTCTAATATAAGCATACACTTCGTGAGAAATTTCAAAGTTCAATAAAAGTAGAAAGAAGGGGAAAAATTCACCCAGGCCCGTCTTGACGACACCCACTGGAAATGTTTTGGTGTTTTTCTTCCCTATTTTAAGTCTGTGATAAATTAGGCTTGCTGATTTCAGGCTATCCAACACGTGTTGATTTTTCTTTTGAAGGAAAATTTGAGAATGGTGTTGCCGAAGGAATGGTGGATCCTAGCCTAAACCCCATTTCAGCCTTTCGACTTTCAGTTATTCAGAATTCTGCCGTTTGGGCCATTCTTAATGAGGTAAGACAATGTGTGCTATCGATGATACAGCTTAGATGGTACGTTGTTGTTGGTTTTCTGTGGGGGATTTTTGTGTTGTATTTTTTTTTAACCCCATTTTAATTTCATGCATAAGGCCTTTATTGTACTTCTCATTATTTTGTATTTCAGATTCATATTAAAAAAGTCACCAACTGATCATCTGCTAAAAAACCAGTACATTTTTTTCCTGTGAATTTGTTAATTAAAGATAGTTAAGCATGTACCTTTTTTTTTTTTAACTTGAACACTACCTCTTGTGAAATCTACTGTAGATAAGATGATTGTCATTTCCACTTGGAAAGTGAAGCTCCCATGGATAATTGCATTCATTCGAACCTAAGCTGTCCTCCAATTTTAACTTGACTCAACATTTTACAGTTATGACAGCCTGTTAATATGACTTGTACTATTTTGGTATTATACTAATACTAAGAGTTGTACATATTGTTACATTCTTTAAATTTGAGAAAAATTAATGTTAAATACATTTTATGAAGGGGGTACTTTTGAAGTTCATTTATTTTACTATTATAGACCCTCTTTTATAGATTATCAGGGATTATATATATATATATATAAATATATAAATATACATAAAAATGTTATGGAGTTAATTTATTAGAAACATTTAAGAAGTACATATTTTTGTGCAGTAAATTTTTGAATCAATACTTTTTTTGAAAAGTTACCTTGCTTTTTTAATTTCTTTCTATATTTTTCTTTGGAAATGCAAACATTACAAATGAATGCCATTTTTCAAATGCACTGCCATTTAAGAATGATTCTAGATTGATTTCCTAACTGAAGTACTTTTATAATTGCAGTGATTCTGAACAAAATATTTTCAAAGGCATTTGTCATTCCTTAAAGCCAAGATTTTAAAGACCAACGTCCTTCTTGAGGGTTATTTTACTATACTGTTTATGGTGTAAAAAAAAAAAAAATCAGTCTGATAAATTTTAATGTGCAGGGGTCATGCATTCAGCCCAAATCATCATGGACTCAACTCATTACATTCCCTCTGAATGTAGGATGACAAACTCTTTTTTCTTTTTAAATCTGTGTCTTTAATCCATGAGTTAGATACATTATCTCTAGTTGATCCTTTTATATCTGCACCCATTTAGTGAGTTCTGACAAAATGTTTTCCAGGTGATGTTATTGTATGAGTCAAAATCATTGAATTTTACAGAAAAAAATGTAATATTGGTTTTTAGGGAGAGATATTGTAGCAGTTGTATGTTTTTGCAAAGTGACTTGCTCTGTTGGCTTTATGAACTTACAGGTAAATTCATATCTGAAGAGCATTTATTGCTCTTAATCATGTAATTCCAAATGTTATTACTACTGTAAACAAAAAGACTATCACCCTTAGCAATCAGCGATCTTTACAAAAATATTTTACTTTTAAGAAGTTCCGAATGATCACCATCAGCTCCCAACCAGTGCATCAGGGGGCTTGCAGGTGGATTCCAGAGAGATATGCAGAGACTGACCCCCTGAGCTCTCGGACTAGCCAGTGGCTGAGGCCTCCGGGGGTTGGAGGTGCCCGCTGGTTGCCTCTTGCCTGGGGGAGCCTCCCGCGGTTACCCAGGATGCTGAACAAAGAGCTTCCAGACAGCCTTGTTTTCTGTACAGTATGTTGGAGTGAAAAATGTTGGGAAACATGGATAGGGTACACTTCTTTCCGTTACTCCTGTTGGAATCATCGTCAGTTACTTTCCTTGATCAAAAAGTTACACATGGCCACGAATAACTTTTATGTCCAAGTCTAGTGAAACATTTTTGCTGGGCTTTTTAGATCCACTTTTCACTTTCTTTAATTTACTTTTTATGTTGTCCTTACATTTCCTTGGCCTGATGCCCGCAGGCCAATTTCATTTGAAAAGAATAACCTTTCATTGTAAAACTGTGGCAGCCGTTGAATATTACGGACTGCTGGAACCACCGAGTGTCGGGAGAGAAACCCCTGGGTGGGTTAAGAAGTCCTCTCCTCTCCTTGCTTCCCCAGGAGCCCACTCTGATTTTAGGGAGAAGGAGCATGCGCTGAAGATCAGGGAGGTGACCATGACTGCAGCTCCTTGCCCTTAGGGCTGCTTGGGCTTTAGACTGGTGAGCCGTACCAGCCGGCTTCTTCCTGTACTTCTGCTCAGCCTCCCCTCCCAGGCTTCGCTCACCCCTCCTGTTCCCGAGAATACTTGGAGCCAAACTTCACCCCCTTTCACAGACTCTCTCATGCACTCCTCCCCATGAATTGTTACCAGTGCCTCGTAGTGCCAGGAATAGTGCCTGGCACGTGGCAGGTCCCCTGTCCAGGTCTGGACGAGGGGACCAACTGTTCCAGCCCACACTCCTCTTTCTTTCTAACTCCCTTTGTCTACGTTGCTTGCCATACACTTACATACATACACACTCAGCTGTTGAGTTTTTGGTTGTTCCTGGCGAGTGTGTGTTATGTGTGCGCACACGTTCTCCCACCTGTCAGGCTTCCAGGCAGGCCTGTACTCATCCTTCCTGTGCTCCGATCATCTCCTTGTTGGTCTTTCCCTGCCCCCACTTCCTCCTCAGGCCATGAGAAACAGCCCTGCTTTCCTTAAGCAAGACACTGTAGGGTAACTCTGGAGAGGAGTTGGGGAGCGAAGTCTGGGGACAGAACAGTGGAGGGGGTGAAGAGTACCTGGGACTGAGGGAAGGATATGTACTTGGCCTCGAGAGGACACTGAACCACTTGTATCCGAATAGTGGGGACACTGTCCTCTGGTGTCCAGTATTTTATTAACATATAGAGATAAACCCGATTTGCATCTGGTATGCATTTCATGTAAACTGTTGAGACTCTAGAGCTGTGCTGTCCTGAGCAGTTGCCAGTAGACACACAGTGGGTGTGTAAATTTAAATTAATAAGATCTTTAGCGCCTCAGTCACACTAGCTACGTTCAGGTGCTCATTAGCCACATGTGGCTCGTGGCCCCTGACTGGACAGCACAGATAGCCTTCTGTCACTGCAGAAAGTTCTGTTGGGACAGCACTGTGTCAGGAGTGCTAATGCGAACACTTGCAAAACCAGAGGAATGAATTCTGACTACGAGGATAAAAGCAGACGTGCAGAATATATCACAGTGCAGACGAGTATCGTAGGCAAAAAGGTTAAGGACTGTTTCCGGGATTCTGAGACCCCAGATTTCTGAGTTCTCTGCTCTTAAGTCTCACATGCTCTTTCCAGCACGCGCGGAGGCCCTACTGTGTAGTCAGACGAGAACAGGGTTTCAGGCAGTGAGATTGAAAAGCTCTGGAAAAAGTGAGTGTGTGTTGGATGATTCAGCAGGCAGGCTGTAGAAACGTGTGTGTTAATTCAACCATGGAGAGGTCTCTGGAAAACGTATGGCTTTTCAGGTCACTGGTTGCACCAGTAAGTGATCAGGTGTCTTTATTTCAAAACCTTCAGCAACGTTCTGAAGGCTTTTCAATTTGTTACTGTCACCAAAAGGCGGTCTCCCATCAGTACTGTCCTCAAAGGCAAGTTTGGTTAATGTGGAAACAGCATGTTTGGCACGATTGCTCTCATTAGTGGCACTGTTTGTACTAGCCAAAATTCTGCAGATGACCCTCAGGTACCGTAGATGCTGTCCTCCCTCTTTGTGTGTGGGTGGAAGCCATGAATATCACCCATAATCACGTTCAGCTAATCTAACTGTGTGAGCAGGGTTTTCGCAGGCTGGTAGCATAAGTCAGATTCAAAGCAGAAGGACTCAAGGCACCACCGCTGATGTAAGATGGAGGGGCCACAGGAGAAGTAATGCTGTTGCCTGTAAGGAGCTGAGAGAGGCCTCCATCGACAGCCACAGGAACCGGAACTACAGCCCTACCAACACAGGAACTCCATCAGTTAATGAACCAAGTAAGCTTGCAGCTAGAGTCTTCTCCAGCAGATGAGAGCCCAGCTCCACCGACCCCATGACTCCAGCCTTGTGAGACCCTATGCAGAGAACTTGAATCAAGCCCGCCCTGACTTCTGGCCTGCGGAACTGTGAGATAATAAATAGGCATTGTTTTAAGCCTCTGAATTCGTGGTGATTTGTTATGCAGCAACAGAGAATGAATACAGTATTTAAAAGAGGTGAGGAGGAAAAGTCTTCATACTTGATTCTCTGGAGTTGGGAGATTTTCATAACCACGTGAGTCAAGTCTTACACTAGCCAACTTACAGCTGGGCTGCCTCTGGGGTTTCTCTGCCTGAGAATCTCTAGTAGTCTTGATTGAAAGTTTGTTGCCAAAAACTTAGAGTATCTAAGCAATGTTTTCTAAAACAAAAATAAAAACAAAAAACCCTGCTAGGACAGGATTGTTCTCATTCCAGAAGGAGGACCCATGGTATATGGAATCTTCTTCCTGGGAGAGGTATGTATTTGTGATTTTTCTGCTCTGAGCCTGTTCAGTGTATTCTTTAAGAATCATGAACAGTGGTATTTTAAATATTAGGAGAAAAAAAAAAACCTCTGCCTTTAAGAAAGATAATCTACTCTGCATTGAACGAACTTTTTTTTTTAACCCCAAACTTACTTTATTGTATAAGCACAGATCAAATCCTATATGCGCCAACCAAATTTTTGTACTTTGCAGGTATTTTCTAAAATACCTCTCTGCTTCCAAGCCATTAATTGCCATTGAAGCTTGAAATTTTGGTTTTGTACATTAATTTTTGTGCTTATTTTTACTATATCACCATACCCTTGATAGAAGAACAACAGAGCTAAAGGGAAGAAAATGAGAGGCTAAGACTGTCAGAAAGTCAGAAATTGGAGTCCTAATAATCTTTGTGTTCTAGAGGAACCCAGATATCCCAGCTCTTTCTTTTATAGAAAAGGAAACTTTTCCAAGCTGTGTAGCATTATAGTGTGTTAAATTTGATAGCTGTACAATTTTAATTATTAATCTTGATAGATGCCATAACTAGAACGCTTTATTTCTTTAATGCATGTGAACACACAATGCTAAAAAGACTACAACGACAGTATTTTAAAAAAAAAAAAAAAGGATTTGTTATATATATCCCTATCACCAGTACCTATATGTAAACTCTTCTTGCCTGAAACACTCCACCTTTTTTGGGCACTAATTAGATCATGTTCAAGGAAACAAATGGGAAAGAGCTGGCACTTTGTGTGTGTGTGTGTGTGTGTGTGTGTGTTTTAAGAATTCAGAAGACGTTCAAGAAAGTAAGCTAGGTATTGAAAGCACTTTGTGCAAAGTATCATTCCTAGTGTTCACACTGCTGTAAAAATGTGAATAGTGGTGCTAAAATTGTTTTCCAAATAAGGATTGTTTGTTGTGGGGAATATTTAATGATACTCTTGAACATTAGGGAGGCTACTTTATATATCACTTGCTCCTAGTTGTTTCTTGGTATTAGTAATTAGCAAATCCCTCCGGAGTCAAAGGTTCAGTACTTTAGTGTGATGAGCCTTCCATTATTTGAAATGCTCGGTTTGCTGAAATTGGGTGAAAATACCTTTAGAAGACCTATTCTCTGAGCCTTAAAAATGGCTGATATCGACAGTACTGTAAGATGCACTGCCAGCAGCTTTGATACTTTTCATTTCAGTAAAGACAGTGATGTTTTCTAAGAAAGATTTAGAAATCAGCTGACTGAACGTAACAATTTTGTTTCATTTATGAAATGAAAAACTAATGTGTTTCTCATCAAAAACACTGTTTGGAAAGGTCATAGACGTTTCTGGAAGCACCCCTTAGAGAAGGTGCCTGAGGAATTGCTTTTCCAGGCTGTACCAGATTTTTTTTTCTCCTTAAATGTATTGTACATATTTTCCTTAAAATGTTTTCATTGGGTGAATGGGTAATATCTGTAGTAATATTTTAGGTACCTGTTAAGATTTTTAAAGGAAGATTATTTCCAAATTTGCTGCTATAATTGAAAACCTATTAACTGGTTCTGTTGACTGTGCCTTTCATTACTGTTTCTCTGTGCCACAACCGTTCATGTGTTTGGAATAAAGATGTTTAAGAAGCCATGTTGAATTCAAGATTCCTTCTAATAAAAATAGGTAAAACTTAATGAGTAGCAAGTTTTGTTATTATTAGCTTCAACACTGATAAAGTTTACTTACAACTATTTCTAGTTATGTGGGTTTTGGAGAGGTCTTCAAAGAAAGAAAAAGAGCCTTCATGTTGAGACAGGGATGACCAGTGTTATGCAAGTGTTCACTTGTCTATTATGCCCGTGGCAGTAGCCTGTTCAACTGAAGATATTTTGTTTGGCATTTCCTTTGTATAGAAAAATGTAAATGATCTTATGGTCTGTAGTGCAGTGATTCGTCTTTGAGTTACATTACAGGTCAGGGAGGCTTGTACTAGGCAAATGTTGAAAATACAGCCCATTAGAAATGAGGCCAGACTATGAACCCTGTCAGGAACTGATTATCAAGTTCTCCAAATGATTTTTCTTTAAAAAATATTTATTATAGAAATGTACCTTTTAGTAGTTTTAAGGAATGTATTTGACAATAGCGTTAACATTATATACTTACTCAAATTTGCGAACTTTACACCCTGAAGATATCTGCAAAGACAGTTTATTTACAAGTTTTGGAAGAAATCATCCCCTCACCAACTCTGCCTATGGCACAGGTAAGATGGCATAGTCTCCCAGTGCCTTCATTTTACTCTGTACTTGTAGAAGGAGCACAGTGTGTGGGTGAAGTTCCATCCTAGTGCCAGGGACAGGCCGTAGAGCAGAATGAGAGGCGCAAATGGATAAAGAAGAATTACTGTATTTTTCAAAAATGGCAATGCTGGAAAAGAAACAAATCAGTTTTTTTAAAAAAAGGAAATCTACCTCATGAATTTTCTGAAAGTGCTTACTACGACAGGTGGGGCCAAGAAGCACCGCGTGTTCTGAATCCGCGAGCCACTGCTCTCAAGGCCGACTCCGCTCTGCACCCTGCTCATGGGTGTGGCTGCTGCATCACAGCTGCGCCCGAGAACCCAGGCTGAGAGGTTAGTTCAGCACGAAGGCTGAGTGAGCAGCAGATTCGGAACTTGAGAGGTGAAGAGTAAGGGACAGATGTCATGAAATACTGAACAGTGGTGGATTTACACAGGAGACTGCCTCAGAAGCCTCTACAAGTCCAACTTTTAGCTCTTTGAGATTTCCCAATACTGGAAGCATAACACCTCCCCTTTACATGAGATCAACTAGTAAGTGTCCCAGGCTTCAGGAAAGAACAAAACTCCCAAATATAAAATCTGTCCCTTGAGTTCCTGCCTGGCTCCATCAGTACAACATGCAATTCTTGAGCTTAGGGGTCATTAAGTTCAAGCCCCACATTGGGTACGGAGCCTACTTTAAATAAATTTTTAAAATAATCTGTCTCCAAAGATCCAGGTTTTCTTCTTGGTCACTACTTAGTGGGTCCCTACCACATGCATTCTAACCTAAATATTTATTTTCTAGAAAGTCGCCAAACAGAAGCCGAGCTGTACTCAATTTAATTATAGGGAGTTACCAAATGAGTGATCCAAATCCATTAGAGAAACCACCATGTTGTAGTATGCTAATCACAATTTAGAGCTTTCTCAAAATAAGTGAAAATTCATAAAAACCTGAACATAGTATGTCAAAAACACCTCCTCTGAATTAGAGAACGGACTCCCCGTGTCCAGAAAAGTATTACAACTTGAGGGGCTTACATGGTCCCGGGCAGAGTGGCTAGCATCTGGGGCTGGGAACACCTCTGAATAGAGGAGTTGTATTTGTGCACCAGAGTGTGTATTTACAGTGAGGTCCTGACCCTCCAGAGTGAAAAGAAAGGACAAGCTGAATTAATATAAAGGTTTCTCATTCATACTAAGAAAAAGAAACTTCTAGAAGGGTTTAGCAGTAAAGGTTGGGCCTGAATTGTGACCATCTGTAGAACCACACAGTGATCATAAAAACAAAGTGAGGCAAAGGTTTTAACACCTTGACAAAGGTTTGTAAAGGTTCGTTTAGCTATGCGACCATACGTTGGACCCAGCCCATGTCCCACCCTAACTGGCCACTGGCACCCAGAACCAGAAAGCCAGGGACAAAAGGAAGTGGGTCGTGTGTTCCTGCAAGTAACTTGGAGATATCAATATGGTTTAACACGGCTCCTTAAAATTACAAAATTTGTTATACACCAGCCATGCCACTTTCTAGCTGAATGACTGGACAAATTAAAATTTCTGTGCCTTCATCTGAAAGTAAGCTACTTACGTTACTATTACAGCACCCCTCCCCCCGCCCCCGTTTTCAGTCAACCACAACCATTCATGACTTACCACTGTATCCTAGAAAGGTTACGTAGATATAATAGCCCACTGCCACCAACCACAAGGTATTTCCAACAAAATAGCCAATAAATGTGTCCGTCAGGATAACATCTGCAAAAGAGATGTGTACACTGAATCTCTTTTTAGTGCATACAATGGTGACTTTTTGATGATAGTGTAAGAAGCAACACTACTTACGGTTAATGAAGAAGAGCTGGATAAAATGCAGAATGACTAAGAGAGGATAAAAAGCATTCAGATGCACATCGAAGGCATAACCCCACTCCACATCGTAGTCTCTGCTTTGCCGCTTCACTAAGTACTTGTTCGAGATAAACCTGAAGAGCAAAGTTAAAATTTCTTTCACAATACAATAATGTTAATTCCGTAAATATTTACTGACTACCTTCTGTGTACCAAGCATTCCTCAAGATACTGGAGACCAAGAGGTGAACAAAACAGATCTCTGCCTTCAGCCTAGCTGGAGTCATCAGATGGCATGATGGAGAAAAATCAAGCAATAAAGAAGGACAGAAAATACAAAGTTGAAATGCAGGATTAAATAGGATAGTCCTATGAAGGTAACATCTGGGTCAAGACCCAAGGGGAGGGATGGGAATTACCTGGGGCAGAGCATTCAGGCAGAGGGGAGTCCAAACACAGAAGTGGCAGAGGTGGACGAGTACAGAGGAGGTGGCAGGGGACCTGGCTTGTTTGAGGCATGGGTGAGGAGACCAGTGTGCCTGGAACAAGTGAGAAAAGTAGCAGGAAATGAAGCAGGAGCCAGATCTTCTGGCGCCTATGGCCATTTAAGACCTTTGGGCTTTTATTCTCGATGAAATAAGGAGTCACTGGAGTTCCCAGCAGGGTGTCTGACTCACTGTTTTAACATAGTTCCTGTGACTGTTGATCTGAGAACAGACTACAGGGACAAGAGGGGAAACAGAGACACCAATTGGGAGGCTACTGGGAAAAAGGTGAGCAAGGATGGTAGTAGTGGAGGTGGTGACGTGGGGAAAATGAGCAGTCAAGGGTGACTGAGAGATTTCTGCCTGAAACCAATGGAAGACTGAGCTGCCATGAGCCACTGTGGGCACAGCTGCAGAAAGAACGCTGTAGGCAGTGCAGAGATTGGATTTGGATGTGTCATGCTGAAGATGCCCGTTAACATGGAGTAAGAAGTACAGTCTGGAATTTAGAGAAGAGGTCGAAGATGGAGATACAAACTCATCCATGTGTATATGGTATTTAAGGCCATGGGCCTGAGTAAGACCCCTCCCTCACAAGGAATGAACTAGATACAGAATAGGTCCAAGTCCTAACACCAAATAGCTCACCTCTCCATTAAAAGATGTGGAAACAGGGAAGCGTGCCCGTGATGTACCTAGCCCTAAGAATAATTCTTCAAGCTTCTGTCAGTGTTCTACAACATGACCTATGAGTTCAGTTAAATGATGAGTGAATGAGAAGTAAAATACCCATGTAAAAGAAAATTACACCTTCAAAGGGTAATAACAAAAAGGATCATTTGTATTAAAAACACAACTGCAGAAATTCAGTGGACTTTCATGTGTGTGATTTCTTTTCAAGGGTACAGTTAAAATGCTATGCCTACCATGGAAATAAAAAGAAAAAACAAGGGACAGAACATAGTACGGTACTAATAAAACAGGTCTGTACAGTTAACAAAATATCCAACTAATATAGCTTTGTTTGAACAAACTCTTAACTTAGCAAAATATCTTCCACTTTAGCCAAGAACATGTGCCATTAAAAGAACAGAACAAGCATTCCGTTCACTACCCAAGAGCTCCCATTCTGTGCCGCTCCCACCCCTTTGCTTATTCTGTACATGGGCACTTCTGTCCTCCCTCTAGAACAGATACTCCTTCTGGGAGAGCTCAAGACATCTGTGGTTTTCACCTCCCACCTCCATATTAATGATGCCAGTCCTGTCCTCTTCTTGGCCCAGACTGTGGCAGGGTCAGAGTCCTCTACCCGAGTCTACCTTCATTTCCACTAAAATCCTCAAGCCACCAGAACTCAGCACGTCTAACATGGAATGCTTCATCGGCACCTGCCACTCTTCCCTACCCTCATCATACCCAATTCTCACAGATGCTCTCTGATCCATCTCTCTCCTCTCTTCCTGGCTCACCGTGCTGTCTGGGCCTGCTCTCCTCTTGTGCAGACTCCACAGTTGTATCCAGCTTCAGCTCCTTTGTAGCCACAGACTGGATTTTCCTTCCAGTGTGAATCTGCTACTTCCTTACCGCAAAGCCTCCAAGTTCTCCACCTCTCTTCCATTCCCCAACCAGCACATGCAAGCTATGCGATGAAGTCCAATTCTTTTTTCTGAAGTGCACTAAAGGCCAAATTCTACAGTCCCCTATCTTCCCGAGCTGGTGAGTGTCACCCTGTACTACCAGACCTGGTATGCTGCTTCTGACTGCCATGCCTATGCATTTGGTACTAGGAATCAATGGTCCCATCTTCCCCTGAGATCTCCTCCTGCTGGTTCCTGTGGCACCTCTAGGATGACAGCAACCACATGTCACCATTTCTTTTTTTTTTTTTTTAAGATTTTATTTATTTATTTGACAGAGAGAGAGATCAAAAGTAGGCAGAGAGGCAGACAGAAGAGGAAGCAGGCTCCCTGCTGAGCAGAGAGCCTGATGCGGGGCTCGATCCCAGGACCCTGGGATCATGACCTGAGCTGAAGGAGAGACTTTAACCCACTGAGCCACCCAGGCGCCCCCATGTCATCATTTCTAACACAATTCATAACACAATGCAACACAATGTAGCTTTTGAGAAATATACCAAGTCAGTCCCTTCCTTTCTTTTCTTCTTCTTCTTTTTTTTTTTTTTTAAATAAGTAGGCTCCATGTTCAGTGTTGGGCTTGAACTCAAGACTGAAATCAAGACCTGAGCTGAGATCAGGAGTTGGATACTTAACCAACTATACCACCTAGGCGCCCTCAGAGTCCCTTTCTATTTAACTGAAACTGTAATACGGACTCACACTAAAGCTGCTGAACTCCAGAATGACTTGGTCTCTGTGGCCCTCCAGAGTCAATGCATTCACGGTAGAACACCTGCTATAACCGATTCCTCTGAAAGCCTTATTTACTGAAATTATTTCATACGCCATGTTTTTGATAATGAATATGTAATTTATATTAGTTAGTAGTAGTCTTAAGCCAGATTTTAGAATTCCAAATTAATGACACGTAGCATTTACTGCCTACCAACCACATACAAAACTCTAAGGAGTTACAAATGGAAACAATACATTGGTATCATCAGAGTTATAGTCTCAGGATTTGTTTAAAATATTAACAGCCACTGGGGCGCCTGGGTGGCCCAGAGGGTTAAAGCCTCTGCCTTCAGCTCAGGTCATGATCCCAGGGTCCTGGGATTGAGCCCTGCATCGGGCTCTCTGCTCAGGAGGAAGCCTGCCTCCCCTTCTCTCTCTGCCTGCCTCTCTGCCTACTTGTGATCCCTGTCAAATAAATAAAATAAAAAAAAAATATTAACAGCCACTATTTACTGAGCACTTCCTATATACCAGGTACTTTTCACACCACAATCTTTTCAAATACCTTACAAATTAGATAACTCCATTTTATAAAAGATATCGGGACTAAGAGTTACACTAAATGAGCTGGCATTCGAACCTAGACCTCTCTGTGATTAAAATTTCCATAGTGTTTTCTCTGATGCACAATGACCATGACCCCTACTCAACCACCGGCCTTTTATGAGCTCACTTGACACATCCAGTCCCCTCATCTGGCATGCGAACCATGTAAGAGCCTGCATCTATGAGAAAATGGAAAAACCAAATGCTGGAATTAAACACTTCCACTCAGTACACTACCGTCGTTAAACCAAACCCAGAAGTGAGCCTGCATAACTGTTCAATAAAACCTGTGCCGCGGCAAGAAGGCACCGAAGGTTTAACAAATCCTTTTTCAAATGTTCTTCATTTAATGTCTGATATTCAAAGTAAGATGCCATGAAATAACCCGCTATAGCTCAAACACCTAGAAGTGACCCACTGACAAATACAGGAAAAACCATGCCATCATCTGGACAAGCAGACTTGGCTAACTGCATAACAATTTCGCAAAAACCAGACTTTGTTATTTCAGTTCACTTATTTGCTACACTTTGACAATACAGACCATCCCTTAAAGTATTTTCTGATATAAACAGTGACTTAGGGAGGGCAAGTTATAATAATCTTGGCAATCAAAAGTGATGCTTTCAGGAGACAGGATTCAAGATGGTGATGGAGGAGGACCCTGAATTCCCCTCCATGGACAAACCAAATCTATACCAACATACAGAGTAATTCCTCCGGAAAAAGAACTGAGGGCTGACTGAACAGCTTCTGCACAACAAAGGACAGAGGGACCACACAGAATAGGAGAGATGGAGACCCAGTAACAACAGAAACCCCACCCCTGACATGCCAACTGCAGTGGGGAGGGACAGAACCAAGGAACCAGGAATAGATTCTAACACGTGAAGGGATGGAAAAAAGCCTCAGTTTCAAAGGGCAACTAGAATTCAAAGGAACCAGCCCTTGAGCATCTGCCAAACAGCTGGGACCTGAGGAACTGGTCTCCAGTAGTCGGAGGGCTGGCAAGTGCCACAGTGTATGTTTCCTCTCTCTCCCAAGCCCAACACTGACAGCACAGATGGGAGTGGGACGTGGCCACCCCGCCAGCCTGCCACTTCAGTAAACCCTGGGACCCTAGCCCACATCAGCCCAAGCCCCACTAAGGCATACACAAAAAAGCAGTGGCTTAAAAGACAACTAGAATAAAAAAACAAAAAACCCTCAGCCAATTGGCCAAGGCCTATGGGAACACATTCTGAGGCCAAATGAGCCAGTAAGCACCACTGCTTATGGCCCCTCCACCTCGCCTGATCACTCAGACTGGAACAGGGTATAGATGCCTTAACTAGCCAGTACTTAAGTGAGCCCCACACCCCTAGCATACAGCAACTTTAGCTCCAATTCTCCTACCAAGGTCCCCACTGTGTAGAGCGCCCTGGGAACCCCAGCCTGAGCCCACTTCGACTCCAGCTATTCCATCAGGGCCATCCCCATGCAGAGTGCCCCAGGACAGCCCCAGCTCCCGCCCACTTCAGCTTCAGATGTCCCACTAGGGTACACCTGGTGTGGGACACCCAGAGAGCCCCCTCCAGCCCATGCCCACTACAGCTCCAGCCGGCCAAGGCCAACAGGCATCCACAGTCTGTATGGGACAGTCCTAAACAGGACCATTCCTTCAAGAGGAGAAGTAGCCATCCCGCCTAGTTC